CCACATTTCAGTGGCACTACCAGTTAAGTAAATATATGTTATAAGCTGACGTCATTGAAGCGGACTCACCCAGAGGGAGTCACAGAAGCAGTAGTCGGGCAGCATGACGGTGACGTACTCCTTCTTGGTGCAAACAGCCACCACCAACACACCCTCTGAGCTGATGAAGGCCTCGAACCCCGTCCCTCCGGGGGTGAAAAAGCTGTAAAACACAGGGGAAATGTTTGCAAGGGACGAACAGAACATGCTGCAATAATCTCTGGATTAAACTGGGAAAGGGGAATCTTACTTTACACCTGAACGTTTGTACTACTATTTTCATTGACATATCTACACTGAAGATCTGCTGCTCACCTGTACAGCTGCTTCCTCTTGTCCTTGCTCATTGGTCCCAGCTGGTCCTGATCCAACGACAGCCAGGCGATGAAGCTGAACGCGACACCAGGCCATCGCTGCACCGTCGGAACCACGATGCCCGCCATGCTGGGCGACAAATCAAAATACTGCATGGCACTCTCCAGGCCCTGCTTCCTCACCATGGCCAGCAGCGATCTGAGAGCAGGACCCACATACGGGTGAGCTTTATTGGACTCGTGAGGTCTGAGGAGGCGTAGGAGTCCCAGGAGTTCTTTGGCGCTCAAAGACTGAGAACCCAGCGATCCCACAAGCACTAAAAGACTCTCGGCGCAGGATCGGTTTAGCCTCTGATGGCTTTCCAATCCAGAAAGCGCTCGCATCACCATGGCGGCGTTTACACACGTGGCGCGGGTTTGACGGTTCAAACAGCTGAGGCGCCGCAGCCAATCGGACGTGAAGAGCTGCTGCTCCGAGGAATCGAGCTCTGGGAGCCACTGGACCAGCAGGAGGAGAGGATCCACGTTACTGATGCCCAGCAGCCCCACGGAGGTGTGCTCCCCCTCCACCGCCTGCACAGAAACACACACAGAAACACACCAACAGTTAATGGTCATAGGCGCCTTTCACGGACACCCAAGTACAATTCAATACATTCTCTAAGAGGTTAAATGCTAAACAAAGACACCAAAACAATTAATAATAATACATTTTATTCAAGGGCGCACAAAAGGGCTGTATTTTCGGACACTTTGTGAGTCTACTGACACAGGGGACACATATTTATGTATAAAAGACATCAAAAAGTGCATTTTGCGTGATAGGAGGCCTTGCACGCCACACAAGAACACCGTACAATTCAATAAATAATTTAAGAGATTAAGATAGAGATTATTTAAGGGCGCTTTCCACGAAACCCAAAGACACCCAAGTACAAATCAATAAAGGCAACCAATGATGGTTTAAAAAAACAATTCTCCATTCAAAACAAAGACACCGAAACTCCCCGTCTCTCACCATGTTCATCAGCTCTTTGAGGAGGTGTTGTGACGGCTGGCCGAGGGAAGTGAGCACTTCGTACAGGTGATTGTAACCGATCCTCTCCTTGAACACCTCCTGTAGAAAGTAAAGAATACATAAACACGATTAAACGACATCTGAGCGCAGACAATAAACCTCATTTGTAGTTCTGCTTAAACAGTAAAAAGAACGTTGTTTTTGTTAATTGCAGTCACATTAGTAAAAAGGAGAGGATGCATTTCAATAATCACATTTGACATGATGGTTTCTGTGAGTCTGTTACCTTTGCAGCTGGTGATTTGTGCATCACTGTAGTGAGGGCTTTGATTGTTGCTACAGCGAGGGAGTCGAGTCGTCCTTGAAACACCTGAAGAAAAAAACACACTTGTCAATAACTACAGCCATATACACCTTGCAGAGTATGTTGATTGGACACAAATCTCCTCTTATATGATCCAGATGAATGTTGCATGCATACAAGTCAAAGCCACATTCATGTTGAAATGTTTGCAATGATGAAAGGAACTTATTTGGGGGATAAAAGGGAGACCTGATTTCTTGGAGTTTGATTCAATTAGTGTAAAAGTGAGTAAAATCATCGAAAGACTAGATGTTACAGTAGACATAACAAAAGGTGTCTTAACGACAATACTTTTGATAGCATATCTGGAGCAGGAAGCTGTCATTATTAACGATAGATAAAGTACACACACAGAAAATAGACTTATTTCCCCTCAAACATCCACAAAAAAAAGCATGCAACCCATCAAACACAAGCCAAACCAAATGATAAATCAACACATCTCCATCCAGCTCAGTCCTGCTCATGTCTCTGAACTGCTTTTTCCTTTTAGATTAAACATCCTGTGGACTGTGTGTTTTCCAACAGAGAGCCTTGGACCAGCTGGAGAGGGACTGTGGTAAAAAAACAATCAAACACTTATCATCACGGAGTCCAGGTGACTCTGTGAGAACACACATAGCATTACCCACAGTACGCCGCAGAAAACCAGGACAATGGGGAGGGGGTGAGGGATGCTTGAGGAAAACCCAAAATGTCAATTAAATCAAAATTACATGACATGTGGAAGAGGCAACGTGGTCACTCCACAGCAAGAAGGCAACGTTGCAGTCATTTGGTAAAGTGGGTCGATTCTGGTTTTGGAATTTCGTACCTATTTTCATCTGGATAATTTTTCCACGACATCTGATTTTATACAGTTGAGAAGAATGATAATACTATGATGAAATGGTTACTTAGCTTAGTCAAACTACATTTAAGCAATTCGGAGACTGGATATCTTATTTTTAGAATAGGCAAAAGTACCATAATTATTCAAAAACTAAGTGATATGTTCCCCTAAGACTGCACGGTATAGGAGTCAGAAGGGCATGCCTGAAAAAGGGAGATTTCTGATGGGTATTTGTCAAACCCATTTCCATTCACACATCTTAAAGTGAAGTGAGGGACAACTGTAAATATGTTGCGCAATATTTTGGGGACATTTACTGTAGCTTGCAAAAAACTGAATTCTACATCCTGGGAGTTAAAGTCTTATTTTAAATAATTAGAGATGTAAATAAATGATGCTGACACAAACAACCGGTCTGATGATTCAGTGAGTTTACAGTGAGCCAGTAGAGCGGTGCAGGGAGGACGTATTTACCCGGAAGTAAGCTGCTGGTTCCCTCGACAAAAAAGCAACGGGATTTCTCCATAGGATTTGGGAAAATAGCTGGAAATACGGTCTGTGGAAAACGAACCTGTTTGATAAATGTTTTGTTCAGCTGGATAATCTCCACATGTCTTCCCTACTTTCATAATGTTCTAATCATAAATCTAATGTCCAGAATGATGCTATATAGGAACTACAGGCGAGTCCAGCAGCACGACTTCAACGTCACGCCAACTTCAGACCCATATTCAAACATACAGATTCTAAATGGTACGAGTTGAAGCGTTTGTTTGAACACTTTGCAGGAGGCAGGTACCTGCTCTCAAGCAGAACAGGGCAGACTAACTTAGAGGAGTGTTTACGTGTTCGGCGTAATGACAGACAACGTCCTCCACGACTTCTGTAGTCCTATTCAGCCACTTGGTAACAACCATCGTTTCTCAGACACGTACACTCTTCAGAAATCACCAGTGGGGTCACTGCTGATGGATTTAATGTCCTAGAACAAATCGGGATCGTCTCTTCAAGGTGTCTCAACCACAGACCTTATTTCCAGATATTTCCCACAACCTATGGAGAGATCCCATTGGCTCTGAGACCAGGGAACAGGAAGTGGAGAAACTCACTTCCTGGTTTTAGGACTCATTCCTGCACCACTCTATTGCAAATGATTATAAGAGACAAAGCAGGGTCTTGCTGTGGATTGGCCACATGGCTCTGATGGGGTGAAGGTGGATGATGGTGGGGGGGGGGGGGGGGTCAGGTTAGGTGAGGAGGGTCTTTTTCCCGGCAGTACCTGAGTGTCCCTCTCTCCTGTCTGTAACCTGTTGTTGGTTATATCTTTCTGGTCCTTGTCTGCCGCCGTGCACCTAGCATTAACCAGCTGACACACACAAACATGTCAACACAGCAGGGGGTTCATAGAAAGAGAAACAAGGGGGGAGTGGTGCAAGGTGGGAAGGGAGGGGAGGGGGAGATGGTGTAAGTGTGGGAGAGTTGAAAGGTTAAAAGCCATGACCCTCAGCAGAGGTCACTGTGTTGGTGAGGTCAACATGCACGGTGGGCAAAATGCTCCTCCAAGATTAAACTAATGTATTCACCATCTGTTTTTAACTATATTGTAGTATGTTTGAACTACATATCCTACTTCATTGTCGACCTGAATGTGTACTTGAGTTCAATTGTAATCATTTTTGCCTTTGAGTATATATTAGTATTTTAGTCTTCGAAAAAATATGTCTTTCTTAAAAAACGTTGGTGCTTTTTTCCCCTTATCTACAGAATGACACACAAGTGCAAAAAAGCGGCAAGTTGTGATGAACTACTGCACTGTGAGTCCTTGAATCATACAATACAAATGTACTTAATGACATAGATACAGACTGCAGGGGAGATAAAATACTCTACTGATACCAGAATACAACTACTAACATCTTTTTGGACTTGTTTCAGATTCAAGATATTTAATAATAACGTTCCCTTTGACCCAGTTCTGGAGTAGAAGCATTATATCAAACAGCAGATCCAGCCACTCACACTCAATCCTCAGGTTATATTTAGATAAAAGCACCGTGCTGTTACCTTGCTGTTCTGCAGAAGTCGAGCCAGATGCTCAAAGCAGTTACTATTGAGGAAGATGGCTTGAAGAACGGGTCTGTCTGAACACAGGAACATCTCCCTGATGGTGTCTGGGAGAAAAAGAGGAGAATAAGTCACGTTTAAGATAAGATGAGATGGAACTTTATTTAACCCCGTGGGGAATATCTGGCGCTAATAGCAGCAACATGAAAAACAGGTACAAATAAAGTAACTATTGAAACAAGATTAAAGTCTTGTAAAAACTGTGCAGGTTTTATGTATGTACAGTCCTGGGTACTATGGCGCGTTTCCACTACAGCGCGGAGCACGGTTTAAGAGGGCTGTGACGTCAGCGGCCCGTCTTTGGTTGCGTTTCCACTTGGCCTAGTACCGGCCGGCGGGTCCTAATTCACAGTTTTTCTGGCCTCATAAAATCGCGGGTCTAGGGCCAGAGACAACGAGGCTGAGTCGGGCTGAGTATGCTAAACTAGAGAGAGCGTCGCTGGCAAGGGGGCTACAACTACAACAAGATGGACATATTTGACCGTGATTTAATTGTAATACACGTTTCAAAATGATGCCGAAGTAACAACATACTGATACCGGTTAGTAAAAACCATGAATTAATGCTTTGTCAAGTCTGCAGACAGACGGCAGGGGAAACACCTTTTAAAATGCGTGTTTTCTAGATGGAGATTGGCTAAGCTAACGCAGTATATGCTCCGACCGTCCACACTCACAACAACGGCCTATACAGACATAAATAAAGCAGCGACTGTATTCACCATGACACAGGCAGTCTGTGGTTTGTACTTGTTTAACTTTTGTCTAGTTTCTGAACAGATATGAGGAGCTGTGAGCTCTGAGTGCTACCAGCTAACGGCTGTGTTGTTTTTCTGGGGTTCTCATTGAAGATGACGTCACGGCTCCGCCTACACTGCGTTACTATAGTTACTACCCCAGTTCCTAAACTGTAATGGAAGTGCGCCATAAAGTGAGCCAGTCCTAACGAGGCCTAGCCATACCGAGCGAGGCCGTGTAGTGGAAGGGTTACAGGTTTTTTTTTTACTTGACCTTTCTGCACGGAAATCATTATAAAATACAGCAGCTGGAAATCTAATTGTAGTGTTGCTTAAAGACCTGTATTGTCTATGGAGCCCCTACCCAGCATGTTAACTTGCAGCGCCACAAATCTGCTCTCCCAGTGCCGTCCGAGTGTCGGGACTCGAGCCTTCGCTTGCTGTTTCTGCTGCTGCTGCTGCTGCTGCTGCTTCTGCTGCTGTTGTTGTTGTTGTTGTTGTTGAGAAGCAACGATGGCCGCCGGGTCAGAGTTCAGCAGCTTGAAGTAGTTTTCCAGCACCGAGGCGATCTCCACCTGCCTCTGGTCGGAGCTGGCGGCCAGGAGGCGCTGAACTACTTCTCGAAGGCAGGCTAGAGTCAGGAGAGCCTTTCTGTCGGGGGCTTCGCTGTCCCAGTCCTCTCCTTCCTCTGAAGAGCAGCTGCCCATCGAGCAGTCGGACAAAACACGCATCAACACCTCCATGGTGGCCGGAGAGATGGCAAACAGAGCGTTCCTCTGGAGGCAAAGGAAGGAGGAAAGGTATGGGGGGGAAGTAAGAGGAGGACACTAAAAAAAATAGCACCTCAGAAATCCAATAAGGGCTGCACGAAAAATACTTTAATGCAAATTGGTTCACACCCACCTATAGGTCGGGAACTTTAATGCCTGTGTCTCTTCAAACACACCCAGAGAGACGATAAGGTGTGTGTGTGAGGTATGTGTGTGTTATCATGAAATCAGGCCTGTGACGTCTACCTAAAACCTTCAGGTGGTCCACGTTTACCTGATCACCAGCTACTATGGCTCCAAACAGGTGCAGCAGGCAGCATTTCAGACTCTCCTTCAGGTGCTCACTCTCCTGGAAGCACTCTGCACACACACACACACACACACACACACACACACACACACACACACACACACACACACACACACACACACACACACACACACACACACACACACACACACACACACACACACACACACACACACACACACACACACACACACACACACACACACACACACCACACACACACACACACACACACACACACACACACACACACACACACACACACACACACACACACACACACACACACACACACACACACACACACACACACACACACACACACACACACACACACACACACACACACACACACACACACACACACACACACACACACACACACACACACACACACACACACACACACACACACACACGGGTTAAATGATATCTCCAATGATAAGATAAAGACCTCAGTTTATCACACAGAGTGCACAACCAGTCCTGCCAGTAACCTCCGTCACAGTCATCCATTAACTCATCCGTCAACACGTCTGATTGGGCAGAAGAAATGTGACGCTTTCGGCTCCTGGACGTCTGCTTTCTTTATCCCAATCAAGATACAATATGCTATCTTTAAGGACGGTATTGACTGATAACTATTTTCTTGAACAAAACAAACTGGTTCTGTCCAAAACACACATACTGTAGGTTGGATGTTATCTTTGGTTTGAAACCACAGCAGCCGCCCACACGACACAGGACAGAAGGAAGTATTTGTTTAAAACGTTCACTATCGGACAGGAGAGTAAATAATAAGAGGAGGATACACTAGGTTAGGAGAGGAAACAAGGACAGGAGAGGAAATAAGGAAAGGAACAGAGAGAAGAGGCGACAACAAGAGGAGCGAAAACAAGGAGAAAAGAGAAGATTAACGGATAGGAAACTAGGAAATTAGATAAGGACACAAGCAAAGGAGAGGATAGTAAAGAAGGGGACAAGAAAGTAGACGAGTGGAGACTAACAAGGAGAGGATTGGAGAGGAACAAGGAGAGAAGATTGTTTGTTTTCTAATCCAAACCCAACGAGGAAATGCAAATACTAACCAAACACAGCAGGCTCGATCATATAACAGTGTTTGCAAATAATGTAACTCACACACACGGTAGATTAGAGGACAGGAAAGTACCATGTGCAGTTGTTAAGCATGCTGTTTTATAAAAGCAGTAGACATTGGTGTAGACCAGGGGTGTCAAACTCAACTTCATCGCGGGCCTCATCAGCATTATGGTTGCACTCAAAGGGCCGGTTGTAACTTTAAGACTATATAAAAATACATTTATAAATATTTTATATATATAAAATAATGTATTATATGACATTATTGCCTCTGCATTGGATTATTACTGTAGGATAGGGTAATAACTTCATAATTAACTACGTCTGAAATCAGAAGTCTATGGCAAAAAATTGCAAGTCTCTTCAGTGCGCATGTCACAAAATGATTTAAAAAGAAAAGCCAAATTCTGAAAAAAAAGTCAATATAAAAAAAAAGAATTGACATTTTGAAAAAAATTAATATTTTGAAAAAAGTCAAATTTGAGATGCATTGTGGGACATGTAGTTTATGGGCAACGTGATTCTGTAGATCGGCATGTAACCGTATAATAAACATATTATATTCTTTGCAAGCTCTTGTGGGGCCACAGGAAGTGAAGTCACGGGCCTTGACTTTGACACCCCTGGTGTAGACAGTAACTAAGTAGATTTATTTAAGTACTGTATTTAAGTACAATTCTGAGGGTTTTGTACTTTCAATTTCTTGCTAATTTGTATTTTTACTCCACTACAATTCAGAGGTAAATCGTAGAGTATTCCCACACTACAGAGTTTGATTCGAGTACTTCTTCCACCACTAATCGTTGAAGATTTGTCTCCAGAATACTACGGACACCGTGCTGCGCTGTGTGAAAGCGAGAGAGAGAAGTGGAACTAAAAACAGGGAACTTACGGTAAAAGAAAGGAACAAACTCCACAGTGAGCGGCGCTGCTTTGTACTTCTGTCTGCTCCGCTCTACTGTGCCCAGCTGCTGCCTGCGGGGGGGGGGGGGAACACAGCTTAGAAAAGACACCAAACTAAGATGAACAACACCTCTTTGTCGTTGTTATAGTATGGTAACGCTGCAGGACGTTGTTACCCGCAGGTTCGATGCCTCCAGTTTCGATACGGGTCGTAGAGGCTCTCGCAGAACGCCAGCGCGTGACGGACAAACTCCTCCGCCTGGCTCTGGTCGGCCATCTCCTTCTCCTTCGTCTTGCTCTTCAGCTGCAAGACACATACACACATTTACTACAGTATTATCTACCAGAGAGGGCACAAGTACACACATCCTTCACTCAAGTAGAAGTACAGATACTCAGGTTTAAAAATACTCTGGTGAAAGTAGAAGTACTGACTCTTTACTCAAGTGAAAGTAAAGAACTTTGAAATGTACTTCAGTAAAAAGTACCCATAACTAGCAGCTGTTTTAAAGAGTACCTGACCTCCCTTTATATTAATAGAACAATAATGTCATTGTTAGCTAATGAATGTTTCCATGCTGAACAACGGCAACATGACAACGTTTTCATTGGTCCCTCTTCTTTAGAGAAGACCAGAGGCCTGTACTACGAAGCTGGTTCAACCTAACCTGGATATGTTGGAGTTAGCCGGTTGGCCCAATCCAAAACATACGCGCTCTCGCTAAACTGTACTACGACGCTGGTTATCAAGTGGATCGCTCAAGCCAGCCGTGTCCTATCTAGTTAGGTGCGCGTTCACATGAAAGGGGTGGTATTTGGAGCATTCGACCAATCACAAACATGGACAAGCGTACTGACAGCGCAGCGTCATACTTCCTGAATGAAAAGTGAACTTTAATATTAGTCAAATATGAAGAAGTTAAACTTTAAACATCCATGACTTAAACACTTTATCCAGGATCAAATCCACATAGCTGCACATGCAAGGTGAATACAGCTGGTAACAGAAAAAGTGTTTGAATGCGTACATTAACAGGTTTATGATATCACTGCCCCGTCTAAGACACGATCTGACTTTAATTACATTTGACTCGAGTGTTTCGTCAACTTAATGTGTTGCTTAAAATAATACTTCTGCATCCAGTATGTGACACTGTGAGTGTTGCACGGCCAGATACGGCTCAGCTGACTCAAATAAGGAAATATATGATACATTATGATGTGATATGATATGAATGATAATTGGACACATCGACGTCTGCACTCACAGTGCCGCGGACTGTACTTAATGTTACTCTGATCCGGTTACTTATGTTGTGGCAGATATTTAAGTAAGCTTTCTTAACACTAATGTTATAATAGTCAGATTGCTCTGAAGATGGGAGGGGATATTCTATTAATTTTCACGTTCACACAGTCAGTTGATTTTTGCCGGCCGTCTTTCCTGCAACGGCAGTTTTTCTGTATTTCCTCTATCCTGTAATATGACTTGATCGCTTTAAACTCCGCACACGGAGCTCTGATTGGTCAGCAGGCGGTGCTTTCACTGAGTTGATCGCTTAGCCTGCAACCTAACCTGCTCCGGAGCAGGTTTGCCGCTCAGCATAAGTTACCATGGAAATCTAGCCCGCTAAAAAGAGAACCAGCGTCGTAGGACCGGAAAGCCAGAGATTTCCCTGAATTTAGCCGGCTAAGAGAAAATCCAGCTTCGTAGTACAGGCCTCAGGAAATGATGGATACACGGATCGTGTTCAAATCAATAGGCACGCAATGACTCTAAATAATAATGATCACGCCACCAAACACACATTCAAACTAAAGGAACCAGCCTGTTTGGGAAATGTGAGAAGTAGAAAGTACAGGTATTTGGGTTCAACATGTGAGAAGTAGAAAGTACAGGTATTTGTGTTCAACATGTAAGAAGTAGAAAGTTCAGGTATTTGGGTTCAACATGTGAGAAGTAGAAAGTACAGGTATTTGTGTTCAACATGTAAGAAGTAGAAAGTACAGGTATTTGTGTTCAACATGTAAGAAGTAGAAAGTACAGGTATTTGGGTTCAACATGTAAGAAGTAGAAAGTACAGGTATTTGTGTTCAACATGTAAGAAGTAGAAAGTTCAGGTATTTGTGTTCAACATGTAAGAAGTAGAAAGTACAGGTATTTGTGTTCAACATGTAAGAAGTAGAAAGTACAGGTATTTGGGTTCAACATGTAAGAAGTAGAAAGTACAGGTATTTGTGTTCAACATGTAAGAAGTAGAAAGTACAGGTATTTGTGTTCAACATGTAAGAAGTAGAAAGTACAGGTATTTGTGTTCAACATGTGAGAAGTAGAAAGTTCAGGTATTTGTGTTCAACATGTGAGAAGTAGAAAGTACAGGTATTTGTGTTCAACATGTAAGAAGTAGAAAGTACAGGTATTTGGGTTCAACATGTAAGAAGTAGAAAGTACAGGTATTTGTGTTCAACATGTAAGAAGTAGAAAGTACAGGTATTTGGGTTCAACATGTAAGAAGTCAAAGTAAAAAGTATTGGAGTAAAGTACTGATACCAGAAAAATGTACTTAAGTACATTAACAAAGTATTTGTACTCCACTACTTCCCACCTGCCTCATTCAGAATGTAATACATGCAAAATATAACAAAGGTTATTGGTATTTAAAGTTTAAATATGTGAGTCAATAGAAGGGCTGTCCTCGATTGAAAATATTCTTAACCCTAACACACTTTTTTCCAAAATCTAATCAAAACATCTCACGATTACAAAGCATCATTTTAAATCTTGTGTTAACCAGGATTTCGCTCATTCAGTCTGAAAAATGCATTAGAAAATTAACTAATTAATGGTCTTCCCGTCTATAGGGCAGCGTGATTTAACGAGCAGAGAGAAAACACACCTGCTGAATGTAGAGAGTCGTCATGTTGATGATGTGGTTGATGTAAGAGCAAGTACCGATCTCCTCCACGTTGGACAGGTTCCTATCAGAAAACACAAGACAAGTCAAACATGAAACCAGCTGTAACGACCAGAAGGTAGAAATACTAAATAATAACAAAGCTTTATTGGTATCGCACTTTTCATAAACCCAATGCAGCTCAAAGTGCTTTAACGACATGGAGACACGTCACAAATTAAAACAGAGAACAATACATTCACCTCACATGCAGCATAACAACATAATATAACAATTAAAGGGGACATAAGGAAGTCAAAGGTGTGATAATACAAATAAAAAAGTGGACCCATACGTCCCGATCTCTTCTCTTCCTCTGTGAAATATCTATGCTGTTGGTGCATGTGATGTGCAAATAAAATAAGTGGTGTTGCTCATAAAAAGGCTAATCTAAAATGATGTGTCTCCAGCTGTCGTTTAACGATGTCCACTGAGTATTAGTCGTCTAAAAAAAACAAAGAAAGTGGACTCATACGTCCCGATCTCTTCTCTTCTTCTGTGAAATAGCCATGTTGTTTGTGCATGTGATCCATTCATACTGTACGTCGCTTTATTTCAGCACAACGCCATCTTCGGATAACACACACAACACGTAACTCCACTTCCCAAAACATCCGGTAACACTTCCGGTTCTTGAACACATTAAGCAGAAACAGAAACAGTGCATGTAAGTGAACACATACCTGCAGATGATGATGAGGAACTTGAGCAGCAGCAGAGCCAGGTGTTGCTGCTCGGCCTCCAGGCCATCAGAGGCTTTCTGGACGCATTGCAGCAGCTGGTGGCGCAACACCTGCAGGATGTTGTCCGGGAGGAGCGTCAACACGGGAGGAAGCTCATCTGGCCTGGAGAGAAACAGACACACAGAAGCTGGATGAAGCTTATTTCATTTATTTGATCCGGTGAGGTGGTTTTCTTGAAGTATTTTTGTAATTACATTTTTGTATCATTTCATATTCAAGCTATTCCTCAAAAAACATGTTTTGGATATCATGCCATTCACATTTTTAATTTACATTTTATTGTTTGTGACAAACTGTAAAGCATTAACCCATCACTGTACCCTGTATGCAAGGGCTGGTCTGCCTTCACTAACTGTACGGAGGCTCAGTCACTGGTACATTTTTATATATAAAGCCATGTTAGGGAAACTTCCATCCTACATCTGCTCCCTGATCTCACGGCGAATTGTAAGTGGCTACTGCCTGAGATCGCATGCTATGGTTTTATTAAATGTGCCAACTGCTAGGACTGTCTTAGGGGAGATAGCATTTAGATGCGCAGCTCCACTGTCCTGGAATAGTCTGCAATTGAAATGGAAACTGAGCAATCTGGTGCCACTCAATGTTTTTAAAGCTCGGTTGGATGCTACTGAATCGGAAGCTGTTGGTACCTGTGCATGTGGATAGTATGTAAATGTAAATGTAATGCTACTGTATGATGTCCTTTTGTTGCTCTGTTATGTTTTTAATGTTTCATGTGGAACCTACTTGAGCAGGTCTCCCTTGAAAAAGAGATCAATGATCTCAATGGGATACAACCTGGATAAATAAAGGTTTGAAATGAAATGAAATGAAAGAAATTGTAGTTTTTGTATTTCTAACCCAAGCTTCCATAAGTGGGTCAAAAATGACCCGCATGCATTTCCTATGGGATCCTCTGGGAACCTTTGATTCTTATCACCTGTTGCTGTCAGGACTACAGTGCAATGCTGCGTCCTCCTTTTGAAATTGGCTTTGTGTCTCACATGAACATGCATCATATGTTCACAAATGACTTGACTCATGCAAGAGCATCAAAATGTAGAAAAGTGGGATTCTTAGGAGGTAAAAGGGAGGTCAGTGTTATTGGTGAAATGTTATAGAAAGGCGTGAGGTAGGGGTGTGAGAAAATATGGACACACCCGAGTATGATGATATACTGATTCTCTACATGTGTATATATACAGTATGTGAATCTGTGTGTGTTTCCAAGACACAGTTTTCCTTCAAATGTATATCACAAATCACAGTTTTGCACACGTTACCTCGAAGGTGGCTTTTCAAAGTCCACGTCCAGGCATCTCTCGTAGGAGCTGATGAAAATCTCCAGCCATATCTTCAGGTAGTCTGGATCCCTCTGAGGAAAGAAGACAATATGGTTAGTGGCATTGCTGACTGTGTGTCTGTCTGTCTGTCTGTCTGTCTGTCTGTCTGTCTGTCTGTCTGTCTGTCTGTCTGTCTGTCTGTGTGTGTGTGTGTGTGTGTGTGTGTGTGTGTGTGTGTCTGTGTGTGTCTGTGTGTGTGTCTGTGTGTGTCTGTGTCTGTGTGTGTGTGTGTGTGTGTGTGTCTGTGTGTGTGTGTGTGTGTGTGTGTGTGTGTGTGTGTGTGTGTGTGTGTGTCATCAACAGGCCACATATGTTTTTGTCTCTTTACAATTTAGTATGATAGCGACACTGGATATGAAAGACTGATGCGTCAAATGCCAAGGACACTTTTCTCCTTTAGGAAACCACACGTTCCCCTTCCTGTTTTGACCGTAGCCATCATTATAAAGTTTGAAAACAAACAGGACACAGGAGTGAGAGTGAGATATGAGAGGTTTACAAAGCGGCTACTACAACCTGACAAACAGGTGACAGCAGGAACGTCTCAGGTGTGTTTGTCTCTTATCTTTTAGGGCGTGGAAGCTCAAACATGCACCTGTTGGGAAACAGGCACGGCTGCATTGTGAGGGGGAGTATTTCCCAGCAGCCGGCTGATCGACATTTCCTAAATTCCTGGAACAATGCCCAGTGAAAGACAGGATGGCAACAGAGGAAGGCTTGGTCACAGATCCTTGAGTTAACCCCTTCACCCACAGGAACAAACCAGCAGTTCATCCTGCTAACTGGGAAGATATGGATCATTAAGTCATGGTATTTCTAAGCTGGAAAATGCTTCAAACTTGACCTGTTGTTGACGCTAGGAAAAAGGAACTCAGGAGTCATGTCATGTTCGTAGCAATCCATCCAATATGTCCGACTTAAGTACAGATTTTGAAGCCCCATCATGCCTTGTGGCCCACATTTGTCACTCAGCTGAAGGTGCTTTGAAACTGAAAATGTATCCTGAGGCTAAGCCAACCAGCATTGCTATATATAAAGTAACCCCAGAAGACACGATGCAATGAGAGGATAATGACTTTATTTTCTCTGCAGAAGCTACTTGACTTAAATTAGGACATATTTGCAGATTAGAGCTTGACTGTAATAAAAGAGACAGTGTGGATAAAGAGTCGAGACCGACTGCTTCTGTCTGCGTGTCAGAGTGGAGATCAGCCAGAGCTATGAAGTCATCAGAACTCTGTGTGTGTGTGTGTGTGTGTGTGTGTGTGTGTGTGTGTGTGTGTGTGTGTGTGTGTGTGTGTGTGTGCGTGTGTGAGAGAAGGAGACGGCCACGTGTGTGAATAATATATTCCAAAACTGATCTTTAAATACTCTATTGTCTTTATGTTACTGCCCAGAAAATGAGATGATGATGTATGCCAGCAGCTTCACTCTCAAGTGACTGAGCCTCACTAGTAGCAGTGACTGAAGGAGTGTGTGTGTGTGTGTGTGTGTGTGTCTGAAAGAATGTCCTCTTTTAGGCAGCAGCTTGGGAGCACAGATGCCCATTGAGGGTTAGGACTGTGGCGGACACACCCTGCTCTGCATGGCTGTGTTTATATACACACACACACACACACACACACACACACACACACACACACATAATGATGTACAAGTAGGAAGCCTCAACAGCAGTCACCTTGTTCTGACTCCCAACAAAAGCCCTAATGTGTCCCAAACTATTCCCATGAGAAGATAACATGCCTCTCCTGTTTATTACCCATTACCATATTATCCCGGGCCCTTTGCCAAGCCACTGAATCACATTCCTAACGATCTGTTTAAGATGACCTCTGGGAGGATAACAAGGTCACCGGCAACGCAGATCGATGCACTCGGAGATCCCCGTTGACAGAATGAAACAAGAGACGTGTGTAATGGGATGGGAAATCCTCACAACTAATGATAAGGTCCCAGGAGAGCAGATTATTACATCAATTAATAGGAATTATATTATGAAAAAGGTCAGAAAGTGCTGTTTTCTGCCAAGTTCACATCTTTGGTTTTGGACTGACAAAACAAGACATTTAAAGACCCCGGCGTGGACATGTAATTGATGTAAATAGATAGAAAGTTAACTTGACTGTATATACATATATAAACTGTCTGTCATACTTGAAGTACTGGATGTAAACCGTGCAGAAGTTAGAATATCCTTTGAAGGACTGCTTTTGCAATTGTTTTAAAAAGACAGGAGATGCACTCGCTGTGTTTGTCAGTAATTCGATTACTTGATTGATTGATCTATTATGATCAGAGTGCTCTTTAAGCAGCGCAGCAGCAACCCAGTCTCCTCCAGACGGGCGCGGTCTGGATTCTGAGAGTGACCTGGTTTTAGTGGAAGAAGTGGCATCGAGTCGCTGAAACCACAACGTTTAAAAAGCTCTCCTCCCAGTAGGTCTGTGGTCAGCCATGACATCACTGACATGTGTATTTAAAGAGACTGCTGGGCAGGGTGGAGGGTCATTGAGTACTGTACTTAAATACACATTAGAGATACTTGTACTTGTGTTTTTATACTACACTCATCACACATAGGATAAAATATAACTATTTGGTGTGGATTAAACCCTCCAAAATTATATTTAAGTGACTAAAACCATGAGTGGGTTAACAGACCATTTATTGGCAGCGACTATATTTTAAAGTACTTTTACTAAGTACATTTCCCTAATCGTACTGAAACACTTTTACTTAAGTGCCATACTCGATGCAGTACTGAAGTACTTTTTCAGTGTTGCATTCGTACTTTTACTCCAAGCCTGAATGCTTGTCCACCACTTGGGATAAACACATGTCTGATACACTCTGTCAGTGACATCAGTGTTGTTCCACAGATATTCATAGCACAGAGGAAACTGAGAAGCCAAAAGGGTGGCGGAATAAAACCCAGAGAAAGATTCCCAAGGGCGACAAACTTTGCATACCGGCAACTAAAACATGAGTGTGTGTGAGAGGCATTGTGTGCATGTGTGTGTGTGACAACAGAGATTAAACCGTGACGAGCAAACAAGCAGCAAAGACTTGAGTAATCTACTTGGGAAAAATATGTGGAACCAAGACGCTTTCTCCCCCTTCATCGTCTAGCTTCGGGTTAGGGTTAGGGATAGTGCAAGATTAAGTTGCAAGACCAAATGTTCAAGTCATGCATTTATCGTAGTGATAAATACATTGTGAGATGCAACCAAATGTCTACCAGTAACCCTGTTTTGTGGACTAGGAGGTGTTCGCTCTAGAGATTGAAGACTCCGCAGGCTGAAATGACGGCGCTGGTTGTTGAGGCATGCTCCCTGTGGTTGAGAATTAAAAAGGGCTTTTCTACAGCTTACAGAGAGTAACTGGCACGATTCTCCACTTTCTCTGACAAGCTGGATCATAATCTGCTGAAACAAAGATTTTTTTGTGCAGTTTTCTTGCAGTGGTTCTTGTGGGGAAAACAAACACCAATGACAGGCAGCTAAGAAGATCGCTGGTTATGTAACAGTCTTAGCTGTCATCTGCGTCCTATCTGCAAGTCAGGCAACCTCTGATGATTAAGTGTTCACATTCATACATTAGTAACTGCCTGAATGCTTCACCTATATATTAATACACAACTACATAGTGTGCATGAAATACCTGCAGAAGTCTCCACTGTTTCAAGGTGTTAAAGTCCAACCACGACTATCTTTACATGCTCGCTTTGAATCATATATTTACAAATGCAATGATCAAGACTTTCCACATGATGAAGAATAGACTGAAGGTACCAGTGTAAACAAACTGAGCATGCATTTGAAAGAGAAGGAGTGAATAGTCTCTAACAATTACACCTTATTACTCAAAATAAAAGCTCATATTTAACCCATATGAGGTATAGGCGTGAGTGTGACCAACAGAGGAAGAAAATACTGAGATTTGTTGATATTATTAACGCACTTTGCCCGTTCAAAGACAGTTACTTTCCATACAATCTCAATGCAAGTGAAGACACACCTAAATAGGATAATTTAAACATCATATGTTACATTTTAAGACATGAATTGAAGCATCACACATCTGTTTAAACACAAACCCCGCCCCTTTCCACTGACCTCTGACACAAAGGAGACACTGCTTTGTCAATCATTAAACAGACGGACATTTCAGAGACCAAACAAATACTATAGTAGTGGAAAAGTGTTAGTTGCAGGCATATGAAACAGCCTTCAAAGATGCGTGCATATGGACTGAAGATGTCAATAACTGGGAATCAATCATTAATGCATATGTAGTTCAACTATGTCAGAAAGGACTGAGGCTTGTTGTGCAACACTTCAACTTTTCAAAGGTCTCAGACCAACATTCCTCATGTGATTTATGCCGCCAGCCATACCTGACAATTCAGCTGCTCAGAGGCCGCTACATATATATTAAAATGCTTCTCTCTCAGCGTCTCGTCCGCCTCACACAGAGAGAAATATTGGCCCTGTGGACCCTTGGCTTGCAGCCAGGATGAAATGAAATGATCCCTCCTCGCAGTGCAATGCTCTTAGTTACAACCAATGCTCGCTTTTTCACAAGTGCCTGTGACAAGTGTGTGAATGGTATGCACCCCAAACACCTAGAATATTCTTCTTCACGATTTTAACTCGCAGACTTTGCTTTTACAGGGTAAATAATTCATGCACAGTGTGTGTTTTTGTGAGAGATTACGGTGGGACTGTGCCAAAGCTCACGTGAGGAGAGGCTCAGTCGGGCCATTTTGATTGGACGCCAGGATGTGCGTGAGCTTTATTGCCAAGTGAATTCAATCTAGCCAACAGCTGACTCAAGGGGTACCGTCTCCACTACTGTCATCCATTCATCTCCACGGTAACAACAAACCAATTTCCTCCATGCACTGCACCGTTTCCTGCAGCATTATGAGAACTCTCTTCCATAAAATGATATTAAAACCTGACAGTATTACATGGCATCCCTACGAGATTTCTACACATGCTTCAACAGTTTTTCCGACTTGGGGAAAAGGAGCATATTCGTAACACTGGTTGCATTGGTTCTCTGTCAATGAACTGCTAATGTATAAACCACTCTGTCCCAGTCCAATAAATCCTGCAGGATGGGCAGGCAATGTCATTAGTCTGGGTCTAATTGGAGCATTTTAGAGCCCTATTCATGTTTTATGAGCTGTTTTAGAGGCGTTTGCATCCTGAAAAGTGTAGCGCGTGGTTTAAAAAGATGCTAAACATTGCCACACAATTATTGCAATCAGTGATTTTGGTTTTAAAAATGTCTGTCACTATTTACCGCTGACCGTAGTGTTTAATTCGTAGGTTTTTCATTCGTATAACTTCACTGTAGCTGTGCATATGATGATGCCAGGGGGGATATGCCATCACACTGCCCCCTACTTCACCTAATGACATTTTCCCAGAAGTAATGCGTCCTTACCTTGGTGCAGTAGAGCATCCAGACCTCGTACAGTCTCTCCTTGGATGCCATGTTGCTTCAGTGTCACTTCTCCGGCTGCTTCATGGTTTTCAGTCATGAGCTGAACCTCCACCGCTGACCTCCAATGTTCAACATCATGGCAAAGGTGAAACACTCCTTCAAAAGATGCCAAGGAAACTTTCCCAGAATTATTCCATGGCACAGGATTTGGCGCAGTAATTCCACTTCTGTAGATCTTCTCAGAGAACCAGGGGGTGGTTCCCAGCAGTGTTTGCACTATCAATGACAAACACAGACAGTTTCTAAAAACATGGAGGCCGATGTTTTGCCATCAAAATACAATACTGTGAAGCTAATAACACGTGTAGTCGTTGTGCAGAATCAGTACTTTTGGTGCTTGAAGTCAATACTTTACTTGAGTAACATTTGCAATGCATGACTTGTACCGAAGTATTCCTACACTCTGGTACTTCTACGTTTGCTTTAGTACAAGATCTGAGTACTTCTACCACCCCTGTATTCCCAGCAGTGTTTGCACTATCAATGACAACACACACTTAACATGGAGGCGGATGTCTTGTGAAAATAAGAGTTCACTGCTAGCAGAAAGCATCCAGTTTCGGTGCTCCAAAGCCCCCAGGAAGTGAAGCAAATTTGTTTAGGGGTTAAACGACAGTACTACAACTTCCCTGTCAGTCCATGACGTCATTGGGCCTAAATGACTTTCCCCCCCATTGACTTACATTGGGAAAGAGAGGTCTGTATATCAACAGATACTTTTTTTTTTACCTAATTTAAATTACCCAGCAGGAACACTTTTAAAGCCCTTATTCAAATCATTAAGTTATTTTATATTATGAGATGTTTATATTTTATAACTTGTTTAATTTCTATTATGTTTTCAAATGATGTGCATACCTTTGTTTACAAAAAAATCCACAATTTGGGATCGATAATGTATATCTTAATTAGACTATTTAGAGCAGGGAGATTGGCAGGCGGAACTTAAAGTGGAAAACTCAACTGCGCATGCTCAGTGGGCCCACATCCGGGTACTTTTAGGGTCATTTTGAGCTTCATGCGTCAGAATCAGAATTCCTTTATTAGGGATTGACAGTGTTACAGAAAAAAGTGGCATAGCAGGTACAAAGAGGCATGCAATGATAAAGGATAAGCTAATTTATTAAATATAGAGAAGGAATGCACACATTAGGAATAATAACGGAGTAGCTCTCATAGGAATGAACGAGGTCTGTATATTCAGTTCTGAAGCAATGTTAACAACACGGCAAAACACACACTATTATGAATGTCTGCTAATGTTGTGTGCTTTAAAAAAAACCGCGTCTAATGAGGGCTAAAAACCCCTGTATCAGTCGACCTTAAGCTGTCAAAAAAAAGCCTATTTTCTGTATTTTTTAGCCTCCCTTTCTCCTCCTCCTCCTCATGTGACAGAAACGCCTCGTCCTCCCAATCCTGCCTGGACACACATGTCTCTTTTAAAAGATAAGATATCAATGTATAGGTGGTAAACATGTATTAAAACCGTCGATAAACTAAGACCACTCACCTGTGTAACGAAACTGTCAGCTGACGCCGTCTGCACTGAGTTGTCGTAAAGGTGTCAAGTTGGAGGAAAACATAAACAGCGCGCATGGTTAACAGCAACTTCCGGTTTCTTATTTCAAAATAAGAGAAGACACAACAAAATAAGATAAGATGTACCTTTATTTATCCTTGTACGGAAATACAGGTGTTATAGCAGCAACAGAATAAGACGAAAACACAGGTAGTACACATAGAATAATAGTTAATATGTTAATTATGAGTAATACTAAACCACAACTTTTAGTGTGAAAGGGCAACAGGATACACAACACACTGCAGCAAAAGTGGACGTTATCAGGATTAAACTTCACTTTCCATACAGAAAACATGTTTCTTTTATAGCGTATGTATGGTTTCTGAAACAGTTAAATTAATTATTGTAAGATATGTGGCTTGTTATGTTTTTATTATGACACTTGCTGTGTTTGCGACGGTTTCTCCACTTTACGTTGTCGATGTGGAGCTACGTGGTTGCTAAGAGATGGGCTTGATTGCAGAGCTAAATCTGTTTTAGTTTGCCTCCCTCTAGTGGACGAAGTGGAGAACTGCTACTACATACTTTATCTAAAAAAGGTGGTTTCTTGTATAGATAAATGCATATAATACCTGACAAATATACACAAATGTTTTATAGCATATAATAGGTACACTATAACACCTACATTGCTGTTTTTCTATCTTTTATGACCGTTTACTAAGGAAATAGAGCTGCAAAAATGCATTTAATTCAACTTTAATACGATGCAGATTTGTCAATACTGGCAAATTCTTATTTTTATCATTAAGTTGAGATCAGTTAAAACATTTTATATCTTGTATGTATACGATTCCTAAAAGTGGATGTATGAATGCAAAAAACACTGTTATCATTGGCATCCATTGTATTTCAGACAAACCTCTTCTAATATTGTGCGAAAAAACAAAATTGATGATAAGCAAACACACTTTGGGGTACAGAAATACGGATCATTTCCACATAAGTAGCTCTAACTAAAACAGTAAAAGCTGCTCACACCTAAATGCATCAGTAATCCTCCTAAAAAAACATAACAAACTTGTACTCGTACTTTAAGTATATATTTCTGACAATAATCCTTCAGATATATGCTGATATTATTACTTGATAATAGTACTTGCATTGCAGTAAAGCATGACCTGTACTCGTATTGTGATATTGAATGGCACTTGTGCAGTATCTGTATCCAACAGATGTTAACATAATAACTGACTTTAAGTGTGTCTCTCAGGATCAACAGATGTTTGTGTTTTTATTTCGCTAACATCTAAGTACCCTGTCTTTTGACCATCAGCACATAACAGCTCTGAAATACAAGCTGGAGCTCGGCCATTTATTTCTTTTTTAAGAAATCAATATGTTCTGAAAGTCAAGTTAACTGCAAGACGGTGTAAAGTGGCCGAATAGGGACTGATGGGATGTGCTCTGTCGTTAAGAGTCTGGACGCAGAGCAGAGGAGGACTCAGGACAAAGAGTTATAATGGAGGACATCATGGCTCAGATGTGGTAAAAGAAGACAATCAGCTTGCAAGAAACAACCATATTTTATTCAAGTAAACATCTGACTCAGGGAACAACAGGCATCAGGGATAGAAATGGACATTCCAGTTTCAAGTGGGCTGCAAAACGGTTTATTACATGGGAGGATGGATGGATGGATGACAGACAGACAGACAGACAGACAGACAGACAGACAGACAGACAGACAGACAGACAGACAGACAGTTAGATAGACAGACAGACAGTTAGATAGATAGATAGATAGATAGACAGACAGACAGACAGACAGACAGACAGTTAGATAGACAGACAGACAGACAGACAGACAGATAGATAGATAGATAGATAGACAGACAGACAGACAGACAGACAGACAGACAGACAGACAGACAGACAGACAGACAGACAGACAGTTAGATAGACAGACAGACAGACAGACAGACAGACAGACAGATAGATAGATAGATAGATAGATAGACAGACAGACAGACAGACAGACAGACAGACAGACAGACAGACAGACAGACAGACAGACAGACAGACAGACAGACAGACAGACAGACAGACAGACAGACAGACAGACAGATAGATAGACAGACAGACAGACAGACAGATAGACAGATCCATGTCTATCCAAGTCCATGTGTGGCAGTCCAGCAAAGCTTTAAGTCCATGTGTGGCAGTCCAGCAAAGCTTTAAGTCCAGTCTGTTCACAGCAGAGGGAGTTCAGGAGCTTTGAGGAGTTTCTGTCCTAACTCTGACTCTCTGAGGGCGAAAAGTGTGACGCCTGACCTGTACGCTGCAGGAATCCTGATGTGTGTTAACCTTGGTTCCTCTTCCTCTTCCTCTTCTCGAACCATCTGCTTCACTTGACCTAATTGGAGGAAAAAAGGGGATGAAAACAGATACAAAATGCTGATAAAAAACCCCCAAGTTAATAGTTAATCTACCCTCGACATCCATGGCTCTCCAGCGCGGGTCGGACTGCTTCTCTGATAAACCGGACAGGCAGCAATCTGGATTCAGTCTCAGCAGGACGTCTTCTCGACGAATCAGCAGCACCGATTCACTGCAGAGTCTCTGGTGCACCCCCCCCTCACTTTCTGAAAAACATCAAACATTATGCAACAACTTCAAGGCTTATTTATACAGCAATTCAAAGTGCTTTACAAAAATGAAAGACGCATAAAACACATTAGAAACATTCAAAAGCAAAGATAATAAAACAGGAATAACTCAGGGACATGAATAAAAGTTAGTGAGATGTGAAGAGTTCCTAAAAAAGTGTGTTTTCCCCCAGCCGTTACTCACCTACATCTAACGGATTGGTCATGAAAACAGCGTTGGGTGAAACCCCGAATATCAGCTGATGGTGCCAGGCGTCGGGCACTTCCTCTCCCTCAGGGACGGCCATTTGCATATTCATGGTCGCCACGGGAACAGCACCGCTTCGGATCCAGCGAGCGAGCCAATGGGTGAGTCCGATACGACGGCGAGGATAAAAGTGGAAGAATCGACCAATCACCTTCCCCTCACTCGCATCCTGCGCTCCATGGATGAGCTGAGCGTGAGTCGCACCTGGAGGGAAAGTTAGAATACAAATGAAATTGATTGATTGATTGAGACATTTATTTCGAACAAGTAAAATAAATAATTACAAAACAAAACAAATGTTGCAGTGCATAGTCATGTAAGAGAAATCAAAACAAAATGACATTTACAACAACAACAACAACAACAACAGCATTAGCAACATAAACAGTGCCACATCTAGTGTTCGAAAAGGAGTGAGAAGAAGTATAACTTATTTCATCTCACCCCCTTGTCCCTAAATGATTTATTTATAATCTATAATCTGCAATAAATATAATTATTATTAATTATTATTATTATTATTATTATTATTAATCTGCTTTACCTGTTGATTGACATATATACATACACTGATATACATATATGCACACATACATATACACACCTACATACTCACACATATACACATACACATAATATGATATCAAATGTATGCATGAAGCTAATTTCCAGTAGCCTCTTTACTGATGCAAACTATAATCCTTCTAAAGAAAATTGGGCTTATTAACACTGTGTTCTATATTTGAACATAATAAGTTGTGGGCCACATTTCATTATACTTTTTGAATTTGCTGTAGTTTGGACACCCCTGATTTAAGAGATCGTTGTAGCATTGCAGGAACTTATTATATTTGACTTGTCGTGTCTAAGATGGCTGATTATTACAAGTCTTCTCCGCTCAGAGTCTCCCATGACAGCAGCAGCTAAACGCCTGAAATGTCAATGCAGAACTTGTGTAACGGAGCTGAGAAAAGTCAATTACAGTGTTCTCCTCTGAGGGACGTGGAAGTCTTTGTCTAATTCGAGAGGCTGCTTTTAAATCTGGCGGTGCAGCCAGCAGGAAACCTCTCCAATACTTTATATTCTCCGCTAGCATCTGTGACACCTGGAATCTTCACAATGCTGTACAGTCATGCTTCATGTTTTCATATTTCAATACAGAACACTTAGAGAGGTTTGAGCTGAAGTGTTTCAAAGGTAGTGATTTTGAGACCATCATTTTATAAATCCTTTCAAATGTTCCTGGTTAGGGTCTAACAATATTAAAAACTTATCATTTCTGTCTTTATCTGCCTCCTAAAGTGATGTGTTTAATCATTCATGAAATGGAAATAAAGTTAAGTACCTTAAATATTAACTTAAGTGTGTTAAGTAGCCACACATTTGTTGATAAATCTAAGGGCCCCCAGCTGGCCCTCAGGTTGTATTTACACAGCTTCAGATATCAGGACTGTCTTTATCTGCCTCCTAAAGTGAAGTTTTTTTATCATTCATGAAAAACCTACCTTGAATATTTACTTATATTTACTTGAATATTAGTTGTTGACAAATGTAAGGGCCCCCAGCTGGCCCTCATGGTTGTATTCACACACTTTAAGATATCAACACATGTACCAGCGTGGCTCCGGGACAGCAGGTATTCGGGCAGCGGGGCCTCATTCCTCCTCAGGCGTGTTTTGACGCATCGATCTGCTTCCTCAGGGGCCACGTCCACCCCGAGGGCCTTCAGCACGTCCACCACCGCTGTGGCCCCGCAGGCCGAGGCTCCGATCTGCAGAGTCTGCCTCTCAAGGGCCTCCTGGAAGGACCACAGCATGGCTTCATCCACTCCTTCATCTTCATCGCCCACAGGGACCGGCTCACACTCTGCCTCCATCTGAGAGCCTCACCTGCACACACAGGGTTAAGATCAGATATCAACACACACACACACACACACACACACACACACACACACACACACACACACACACACACACACACACACACACACACACACACACACACACACACACACACAGGGTAAAGATTAGATATCGCACACATAAGTGCATGTATGGTGTGTATAAGTGCTTGTATGTGTGTGTGTGTGTGTGTGTGTGTATGGTAGCATGTATGTACAGTATGAAGCTAGCCAGTAGCCTCTTTAAATCATCATTGCTGCAAACTATAATCCTTCTTAGATAAACTCGTGTTATTTTCTTAATCTGAATAAACTTTAACATGCTCTTGCACTTTGCTTTTATAGAGTTATAATTAATAATGTCTTACCATCTAGCTACTGATAGCGACAATCACAAACAGTCACGTGGTCTCTCTTCGGTGTTTAATTTTCGGTTTGGCAGAGAGGCAAAGTGACCCTCAGCGCCCCCTGCTGGCAGCTTTCAGCCAGGAGAAAAGCACTGGGAAAACATGGTGAACAATGAAGTCAAATGAAATGAGTGAATAAATGAGTAAATATAATGCAAATATAAAAAGGGATATCCAACCAAACATGAATTGCTGTATGCTGTTGTTTAGTTGTTGAATAAGAAGTTGTATCTTCTTGTTTTTTTTACAAAAGTGAAGTTTGGTAAGGTGTGTATTGGCTTTTCCAGCTCGTTCTGGGTATCAACGTTAAAAGTACACTTGTTTATTTATTCATTATCAATCATAGCATGTATAAATCCTCAAAAATGTGTACATACTGTATGTATCGTAGAAGTGTGTTTAGTTTTGGTATACTATAACTGTACATATTATTTCATTTTACAATGCTGAATGAGTCTTTTAGAGCTGATTTCTTAGAGTCTTTCAAGTTCACCAAACAATATGATGAATATGTTTAAAGCACGAAGGAAAAACATCAAATTCACAACCCAAAAAAGGTACGCTCCTCTGACCTGTCTGCCTGCGGCCTCCACCCTGCCTCCATCCAGCAGCTGATGCAGCCCTCCACCCTGCCTCCATCCAGCAGCTGATGCAGCCCTCCACCCTGGGAAAGACTGCTCTGAGAACTGCGTTCGAGTCCTCGTGAGATATAGTGATTTTTAAAGTGCTTTACTCAAAATGAAGAAGATAAATGCGCCCGGAGCACAGGTCTTCATGTACATGTGATGGTGGCCGGATTGGGTCTGTTCTCGGCCTTGAAGACTGGAGGTTGTGTGTTCAATCTTCTTTATTTGCACTGGTTTTCAGGTAAAACATCCAAAATGGTGTGAAAAAAGCCTAGAGAAGAGTTTTTCATTTTAAAATGTTGGTGGCACAATTGTATGACATACTTACAAGGATAGTTTTATTGGATGCACTGCACAATAGCTTGTTCTATTTCCTTTTTTACATTGTCATTGTGACATAATCTACCAAACAACCTAAGACTGTCCCAAATGAAATAGCTTAGTGGGATACAACGCTGCTCAGGTGAGAAGGAGTCTTGGGTTCGATCCCTGTGAGGTCCATGCATTTTCTAAGTCTAACCATCCAAAGTAGAGAATTAACTTACCAAATGAGATGTAGCAGTCACTGGTCAAGTGGCTTAGAGGGATAGAACACAGACTGTGAGACAGGAGGTTGTGGGTTCAAGGCTTTTCAGGTGCAGTAATCTTTAAGGTTCAAAAACCCAAATGAACCGGTCATAAGCTCTTCGAAACGTAATCATCTCAGGACAGATAGCTCAGAGGGATAAGTGTCAGGTCAGAAGACCTGAGGTTGCGTGTTCGAGTCCTCGTGAGCTATAGTGATTTTTAAAGTGCTTTACTCAAAATGAAGAAGATAAATGCGCCCGGAGCACAGGTCTTCATGTACATGTGATGGTGGCCAGATTGGGTCTGTTCTCGGCATTAAGGCGCTGGTGTCGAGTTCAGGTCTGTTGCTTAGCATGTACGGGGTTCGATACTCGGAGTAGCTGAGTTAGGCAGAGTAGCTGCAGCAGGTAGTGCACAGTAGATGAGGCAGGTAGTTCATAGCAAGTGAGGCAGGTAGTGCAGAGTATGACATTTTGAGATATCCTTTGTATCACAAAGTCTACCAAAGACTCAGATCAAATGGCTCAGTGAGATGCACTATTGTTCAGAAGAACTGAGGTTTAAGGTTCGATCCCCATGAGGTGCAGAGATGCTTCTGATCTTCAACACCCACTCTTCAAGTGTAGAATTAGATTACCAAACAAAACATAATGTTCCCAGGTCAGATGGCTGACTGGGATGAAACCATGCTTGATGTCTGGAGGTTCTTGGTTCAACCCTCTTTATTTGCACCTGTTTTTCAGGTAAAACATCCAAATGATGTGAACAAAGCGTACAGAGTAGTTTCTCGTTTACAAATGTTTGTGACACAATTGTGTGATTCTCTGATATTTCTTTCAGATGCACTATGACTTATTTTATTTCCTTTTTTATATTATTCTTTGTGACAAAGTCTACCATTATTTAAACTGAAATAGCTCAGTGGGTTACGACGCTGCTCAGGTGAGCTGAAGTTTTGGGTTCGATCCCCATGAGGTGCAGAGATGTTCTGAAGGCCAGCACCCAAAGTGTAGAATTAGATTACCAAACGGAAATAATGTTCCCAGGTCAAATGGCTCAAAGGGATAAGACACTACCTTGATGTCTGGAGGTTCTTGGTTCAACCCTCTTTATTTGCACCTGTTTTTCAGGTAAAACATCCAAATGATGTGAACAAAGTGTAGAGAAGGGTTTCTCATTTACAAATGTTGGTGGCATAATTGTGTGACACTTACCTCAGTTAAGTTTTATTGGATGCACTACACTATGACTTATTTTATTTCCCTTTTTTACATTTTCTTTGTGACATAATCTACCAAACAACCTAAGACTGTCCCAAATGAAATAGCTTAGTGGGATGCAACGCTGCTCAGGTGAGCAGGAGTCTTGGGTTCGATCCCTGTGAGGTCCATGCATTTTCTAAGTCTAACCATCCAAAGTAGAGAATTAAGTTACCAAATGAGATGTAACAGTCACTGGTCAAGTGGCTCAGAGGGATAGAACACAGACTGTGAGACAGGAGGTTGTGGGTTCAAGGCTTTTCAGGTGCAGTAATCTTTAAGGTTCAAAATCCCAAATGAACCGGTCATAAGCTCTTTGAAACGTAATCATCTCAGGACAGATAGCTCAGAGGGATAAGTGTCAGGTCAGAAGACCTGAGGTTGTGTGTTCGAGTCCTCGTGAGCTATAGTGATTTTTAAAGTGCTTTACTCAAAATGAAGAAGATAAATGCGCCCGGAGCACAGGCCTTCATGTACATGTGATGGTGGCCGGATTGGGTCTGTTCTCGGCATTAAGGCGCTGGTGTCGAGTTCGGGTCTGTCACTTAGCATGTACGGGGTTCGATACTCGGAGTAGCTGAGTTAGGCAGAGTAGCTGCAGCAGGTAGTGCACAGTAGATGAGGCAGGTAGTGCACAGTAGATGAGGCAGTTAGTGCACAGTAGATGAGGCAGGTAGTGCACAGTAGATGAGGCAGGTAGTGCACAGTAGATGAGGCAGGTAGTTCATAGCAAGTGAGGCAGGTAGTTCATAGTAAGTGAGGCAGGTAGTTCATAGTAGATGAGGCAGGTAGTTCATAGCAAGTGAGGCAGGTAGTTCATAGTAAGTGAGGCACGTAGTTCATAGTGAGGCAGGTAGTTCATAGTAAGTGAGGCAGGTAGCGTAGGGTCGCGTAACGTAGAAGAGGCAGGTAGCGTAGGATAAGAGAGGCAGGGAGAGTAGCGTAGGAGAGGGAGGTTGAGCAGAATGAGCAGAATGAGCAGATCAGGATTACAAAATTGCAGAAAATCTTTTTTTTTTGCTTTTTTCCCCAAATTTTAGCTTTTTTTGGTCCTGAAAAGCAGCACTGCAGCCGCAGGGGGGATACGAACCCTGGCATCTAGGATTCTTCCTGGCTCACTGTGCACCTGCCCTACCAGGTGAGCCACTGGGTCATACAATGAAGAATGGTTTAAGTTATATTTATCATGACGAGTAATAATCACTTTAAAAAAAAAAAAAAAAAATGACATTTATTTTATACGTCATTATTAATGACTTTTAGAAACTATTTATGATTTTCTAAAGGCATTTCACATTTTAAGGACATTATTTGCTAATTATTGTCAATTTAATTAACTTTTCTATGACTTTTTGCAGTTTAATGATTTTCTGCTCTGACTTTTTAAACGACTTTTTGTGAAAAATGTCATTGTTTTTTGTAACTTCCCTTTGGCAAACATTGTAATGAAACTGCTTGTGACTTTTAATTAATTTTTATAATGTTTTGCAATATGCTATGACTTTTATTATGACACTATTAAATGACTTGTGGCGTAGTAAACTATTATGGCATTTCTAAAGTGTTTACTTTCCTAAGGACGTTCTGAAGACATTTAAAGGTTTGCGCTTACTAAGACTTTTAAATGCCATACTTTACCACGAGTGGAGGAAGAAGAGAAGAAGTGAAGAAACCCGGCCGTCCTCAGATGTGTTCCAGAAACTCTGCACTCATCTTGGGGAGAAATGAAGAGAGGGAAGACAGCGTTAGGATTATTCTGTTTAAGACATTTTAAAAACTAGTTTTTCTCTTTCTCTAATTATTTATAGAATATTTAGAGTGGTTAAATGTATTCTTTCTGCATTAAGTACTTAAGTACATTTGACTGATTAAACATATATTTTCTCAAGAAACATCAACATGATTTTTTATGACAAACTACAATAATACATTTGTCACGGTTTCCTAAACTATGACTTAAAGGTCCCATGTCATGCTTTTCCAGTTATCACCCGTCCCCTTGTGTGTTATGTAGCTTCTGCATGTAAACGGTCTGCAGAGTCACAAGCCCTCAAAGTACACCCTGTAGCGAGTAAAACTCTAACACAGAAAAGACCTGTCTATGCTGCCCCAGAACGCCTCGTTGGAGATTTCTCATGTTCCATTGTTTGCTTCCTGGGTTCTGTGACGTGTGAACACCCAAATCAACAACAAATGACCGGATTGGCCCAAATGGACCAATCCGCGGAGCACCTCACACACCAGAGGCCTGTACTACGAAGCCGGATTTTCTCTTAGGTGATTTTTAAAGTGCTTTACTCAAAATGAAGAAGATAAATGCGCCCAAATACCACCCCTTTCATGTGAACGCGCACCTAACTAGATAGGACACGGCTGGCTTGAGTGATCCACTTGATAACCAGCGTCGTAGAACCGTTTAGCGAGAGCGCGTATGTTTTGGATTAGGCCAAACTCAAACATATCCAGGTTATGTTGAACCTTTTTCTTACTCAATATATCAAGCCACACTTATTGTTTTTACTTCGGCTGTGAGTGTTTGTGTGTGCTCAGGATGAGTTTCGCTTGTTCTCGCTGTATCGCCGACCCGGAAACCTGTCCGCTCCTCGCAGCAGCGGCGAGCAGCAACGAGCCTCGCAACAAGCCGTTTAGGACAGAGAGTGAATACACATACTATACAGAGATGCTGTATGAGAAACCAATGTGATTTTGGAAAATTGCACAATTTAAATCTATTCGAGTAGACCTCAACAATGGAATTATGATCCGTAAAGATGGCCATGACATGGGACCTTTAATATGAAACTAAATGAAGCCATTCTATATCAAGTAACCTTTTCAATGCAGGACTTCTACTCATACTTCAAATAGAGGGTCCAAAATAACCTCCTCCCCCACTGGTTTCAGTGATTTGAAGATGATAAAACAGCTTTACATTTGTCAAAATACCTGTCAGAAAATAGTAGATAATGAATCTCGTGTATTTCAACAAGTAGCTTCATAGATGTTACTAAAAGTGTTAAAAATAAATCCCTTCCTGAACACATTCAGGAGACTGATGCACCACAGGAGATTTAAATCATCTTAGTATTCAGGACAACAAACATGTTGGCACAGAAAGCTGTTAAAATTAAAAACATAAAGGTAAAACATTAAACTATATAAATACAATATACATGTAGTGTCTTACATACAACAGTACTGTTTACGCTTCGCTATTGTGAGGTTGTAAACACGGAAGTGGACCGTCACAACACATTCAGACCTTTCTGATGAATGCTGTGAGTAAACCTGACCCACGCGTAAAACAACAACACTGTCTACTAACAGTATTTACTTACCAATGTTGACGGGATAGCAGAATGCGCAGGTTGTTTGTAGAGAAGGGAAAACGTCAACAAGTTATTCCACACCGGTGCCATGCTGCTTCTCTGCACGATGAGAGAGACTTCCACATGGGACTCTGCAGGGAACACCCCGGAAGTCTCATCGTGCAGAGAAGCAGCATGGCACCGGTGTGGAATAACTTGTTGACGTTTTCCCTTCTCTACAAACAACCTGCGCATTCTGCTATCCCGTCAACATTGGTAAGTAAATACTGTTAGTAGACAGTGTTGTTGTTTTACGCGTGGGTCAGGTTTACTCACAGTAACGCTAACATTTATCAGAAAGGTCTGAATGTGTTTTTGTCACGTTCCACTTCCGTGTTTACAACCTCACAATGGCGTAGCGTAAACAGTACTGTTGTATGTAAGACACTACATGTATATTGTATTTATATAGTTGAATGTTGACCTTTTTATGTTTTTAATTTTAACAGCTTTCTGTGCCAACATGTTTGTTGTCCTGAATACTAAGATCATTTAAATCTCCTGTGGTGCATCAGTCTCCTAAATGTGTTCAGAAACGGATTTACTTTGAACACTTTTAGTAACATCTATGAAGCTACTTGTTGAAATAAACGAGATTCATTATCTACTATTTTCTGACAGGTATTTTGACAAATGTAAAGCTGTTTTATCATCTTCAAATCACTGAAACCAGTGGGGGAGGAGGTTATTTTGGACCCTCTATTTGAAGTATGAGTAGAAGGTGAGCTGATGTAGAATGGCTTGATTTAATTTCATAGTTTAGGAAACCGTGACAAATGTATTATTGTATTTGTCATAAAAAATCATGTTGATGTTTCTTGAGAAAATACATGTTTAATCAGTCAAATGTACTTAAGTACTTAATGCAGAAAGAATACATTTAACCACTCTAAATATTCTATAAATAATAAAAAATTACCACGTAGAGAAATACAGCAGCCATCAGTCCCTGAGATAACATCAACCCTTCTGTACGCCAAATATTTGTTTCCCGAGGTGAAGAATATTTAAAAAATGCACAATAAATACCTGAAAAAGTCGAGAGAAAAACTAGTTTTTAAAATGTCTTAAACCAGAATAATCCTAACGCTGTCTTCTCTCTGTTCATTTCTCCCCAAGATGAGTGCAGAGTTTCTGGAACACATCTGAGGACGGCCGGGTTTCTTCACTTCTTCTCTTCTTCCTCCACTCGTGGTAAAGTATGGCATTTAAAAGTCTTAGTAAGCGCAAACCTTTAAATGTCTTCAGAAAGTCCTAGGAAAGTAAAAACTTTAGAAATGCCATAATAGTTTACTACGCCACAAGTCATTTAATAGTGTCAGAAAAAGTCATAGTATAGTGTGTCATAATAAAAGTCATAGGAAAGTCAGAGTATATAGTATAGCAAAAAAATTCATAAGAGTGATTAAAAGTCACAAGAGTTTCATTACAATGTTTGCCAAAGAGAAGTTACAAAAAACAATGACATTTTTCATAAAAAGTCGTTTAAAAAGTCAGAGCAGAAAATCATTAAACTGCAAAAAGTCATAGAAAAGTTAATTAAATTGACAATAATTAGCAAATAATGTCCTTAAAATGTGAAATGCCTTTAGAAAATCATAAATAGTTTCTAAAAGTCATTAATAATGACGTATAAAATAAATGTCATTTTTTTTTTTTTTTTTTAAAAAGGTTATTATTACTCGTCATGATAAATATAACTTAAACCTTTCTTCTTTGTATGACCCAGTGGCTCACCTGGTAGGGCAGGTGCACAGTGAGCCAGGAAGAATCCTAGATGCCAGGGTTCGTATCCCCCCTGCGGCTGCAGTGCTGCTTTTCAGGACCAAAAAAAGCTAAAATTTGGGAAAAAAGCTAAAAAAAAAAGATTTTCTGCAATTCTTTTTATCCTGATCTACTCGTTCTGCTCTCCTACGCTACCTCCCTCATCCTATGCTACCTCCCTCATCCTACCTCTCTTACCTCTCTTATCCTATGCTACCTCCCTCATCCTACCTCTCTTACCTCTCTTATCCTACGCTACCTCCCTCTCCTACGCTACCTGCCTCTCCTACCTGCCTCTCCTACGCGACACTCCTACGTTGCGCGACCCTACGCTTCCTATGAACTACTTGCCTCATCTACTGTGAACTACCTGCCTCATCTACTGTGAACTACCTGCCTCATCTACTGTGCACTACCTGCCTCATCTACTGTGCACTACCTGCTGCAGCTACTCTGCCTAACTCAGCTACTCCGAGTATCGAACCCCGTACATGCTAAGCGACAGACCCGAACTCGACACCAGCGCCTTAATGCCGAGAACAGACCCAATGCGGCCACCATCACATGTACATGAAGACCTGTGCTCCGGGCGCATTTATCTTCTTCATTTTGAGTAAAGCACTTTAAAAATCACTATAGCTCACGAGGACTCGAACACACAACCTCAGGTCTTCTGACCTGACACTTATCCCTCTGAGCTATCTGTCCTGAGATGATTACGTTTCTAAGAGCTTATGACCGGTTCATTTGGGATTTTGAACCTTAAAGATTACTGCACCTGGAAAGCCTTGAACCCACAACCTTCTGTCTCACAGTCTGTGTTCTATCCCTCTGAGCCACTTGACCAGTGACTGCTACATTTCATTTGGTAACTTAATTCTCTACTTTGGATGGTTAGACTTAGAAAATGCATGGACCTCACAGGGATCGAACCCAAGACTCCTGCTCACCTGAGCAGCGTTGTATCCCACTAAGCTATTTCATTTGTGAAAGTCTTAGGTTGTTTGGTAGATTATGGCACAATGAAAATGTAAAAAAGGAAATAGAACAAGCTATTGTGCAGTGCATCCAATACAACTATCGTTGTAAGTATGTCACACAATTGTGCCACCAACATTTTAAAATGAAAAACTCTTCTCTAGGCTTTTTGGATGTTTTACCTGAAAACCAGTGCAAATAAAGAAGATTGAACCCACAACCTCCAGTCTTCAAGGCAGTGTTTTATCCCAGTGAACCATTTGACCTGGGCCAATAAACTTTAGTTTGGTAATGTAATTCTGCACTTTGGGTGTTAAACTTCCAAAAATCTATGCACCTCATGGGGATCGAACCCAAAACTTCAGCTCACCTGAGCAGCGTTGTATCACCCTGAGCTATTAGATTGAGACAGTGACCTGTTGTTTGGTAGATTATGTGACAAATAAAAATGTAAAAAAGGAAATAAAATAAGTCAAATAGTGCAGTCCATCTGAAAAAAACTGTCCTTATAAGTATGTCACACAATTGTGCCACCAACATTTTTAAATGAAAAACTCTTCTCTAGGCTTTTTTCACACCATTTTGGATGTTTTACCTGAAAAACCAGTGCAAATAAAGAGGGTTGAATCAAGAACCTCCAGTCTTCAAGGCAGTGTTTTATCCCAGTCAGCCATTTGCCCTGGCCCATATGTGTTGCGTTTGGTAATATAATTCCACACTTTGGGTCTTGGACTCCAGAAAATCCCTGCACCTCATGGGGATCGAACCTTAAACCTCAGTTTACCTGAGTCACTTGACCAGTGACTGCTACATTTAATTTGGTAAGTTAATTCTCTACTTTGGATGGTTAGACTTAGAAAATGCATGGACCTCACAGGGATCGAACCCAAGACTCCTGCTCACCTGAGCAGCGTTGTATCCCACTGAGCTATTTCATTTGGGACAGTCTTAAGTTGTTTGGTAGATTATGGCACAAAGAAAATGTAAAAAAGGGAAATAAAATAAGTCATAGTGTAGTGCATCCAATAAAACTTAACTGAGTTAAGTGTCACACAATTATGCCACCAACATTTGTAAATGAGAAACCCTTCTCTACACTTTGTTCACATCATTTGGATGTTTTACCTGAAAAACAGGTGCAAATAAAGAGGGTTGAACCAAGAACCTCCAGACATCAAGGTAGTGTCTTATCCCTTTGAGCCATTTGACCTGGGAACATTATTTCCGTTTGGTAATCTAATTCTACACTTTGGGTGCTGGCCTTCAGAACATCTCTGCACCTCATGGGGATCGAACCCAAAACTTAAGCTCACCTGAGCAGCGTCGTAACCCACGGAGCTATTTCATTTTAAATAATGGTAGACTTTGTCACAAAGAATAATATAAAAAAGGAAATAAAATAAGTCATAGTGCATCTGAAAGAAATATCAGAGAATCACACAATTGTGTCACAAACATTTGTAAACAAAAAACTACTCTGTACGCTTTGTTCACATCATTTGGATGTTTTACCTGAAAAACAGGTGCAAATAAAGAGGGTTGAACCAAGACCCTCCAGACATCAAGCATGGTTTCATCCCAGTCAGCCATCTGACCTGGTCCAATTATGTTTTGTTTGGTAATCTAATTCTACACTTGAAGAGTGGGTGTTGAAGATCAGAAGCATCTCTGCACCTCATGGGGATCGAACCTAAAACCTCAGTTCTTCTGAACAATAGTGCATCTCACTGAGCCATTTGATCTGAGTCTTTGGTATTGTGTTTGGTAGACTTTGTGATACAAAGGATATCTCAAAATGTGATACTCTGCAGTTCCTGCCTCACTTGCTATGAACTACATGCCTCATCTACTGTGCACTACCTGCCTCACTTGCTATGAACTACCTGCCTCACTTGCTATGAACTACCTGCCTCACTTGCTATGAACTACCTGCCTCATCTACTGTGCCTAACTCAGCTACTCTGAGTCTCGAACCCCGTACATGCTAAGCAGCGGACCCGAACTCGACACCAGCGCCTTAATGCCGAGAACAGACCAAATCCGGCCACCATCACATGTACATGAAGACCTGTGCTCCGGGCGCATTTATCTTCTTCGTTTTGAGTAAAGCACTTTTTTTTTTAAAGCAAACCTGTCTCCTATCCCTCTGCGCCATCTGACCTGAGACATTAATGTTACGTAGAGCTTATGGCCCGTTCATTTGGGATTTTGGACCTTAAAGATTACTGCACCTGAAAAGCCTTGAACCCACAACCTTCAGTCTCCCAGTATGTGCTCTATCCCTCTCTGCCAATAAACTTTTGTTTGGTAATGTAATTCTACACTTTGGGTCTTGAACTTCCAAAGATCTATGCACCTCATGGGGATCGAACCCAAAACTTCAGCTCACCTGAGCAGCGTTGTATCACCCTGAGCTATTAGATTGAGACAGTGACCTGTTGTTTGGTAGATTATGTGACAAATAAAAATGTAAAAAAGGAAATCAAATAAGTCATCGTGCAGTCCATCTGAAAAAATCTGTCCTTGTAAGTATGTCACACAATTGTGCCACCAACATTTTAAAATGAAAAACTCTTCTCTAGGCTTTAACCTGAAAAACCAGTGCAAATAAAGATGATTGAACCAAGAACCTCCAGTCTTCAAAGCAGGGTTTTATCCCAGTCAGCCATTTGACCTGGGCCTATAAACCTTTGTTTGGTAATCTAATTCTGCACTATGGGTGTTAAACTACCAAAAATCTATGCACCTCATGGGGATCGAACCCAAAACCTCAGCTCAACCTGGCAAGGCTGTGGTTTATTCCTGTGAGCCATCTGACCTGGGTTGACTCTGTGTCACTTGGTAATCTAATTCTACACTTTGAGTCTTGGACTTCAAAAAACATTTTCACTGGGTGCACTTCATGAGGATCGAACCTAAGGCTTCAGTGCTTCAGAACAGTCTTGTATCTCTCTGACCTATCAGATATGAGGTTTATGGTGGAGGTTGTGTCATAACCTCTGCATGTTTGACTCATTTATTATGGGTGTTGGACCTTAAAAACGTAAGTATCGAAGACACAACATCAGCTCTACTGAGCTTCCTCGCAGACTTAGCAGCCTGAGGGACGTATAGCAGACTTAACAGACTATCGATGTGGCTGCAGTGAGAGCCCACAGCCACCCTTCTATCTCCTTGAGCTTTTACTTGTATTTGACTTCTTCATCACTGGAAAGACACATTAAAACACTGCATGGCACAAGACTCAAACTCCTGGGATCTTTAAACGCAGTGGACCACCCAAGGTTTGAACTCACGTTCTCTGGTCTCCAAGACGGGTTCTTATCACAGTGAGCCATCCAACCTGACACAGTTAGATGTTCCCTGGCCTACGTGTCATTTTCACCTCAGGTTTGGACCTTAAAATACACAGCTCAAGCACCTCTTATTTGACCTGAGACATTATTGTTTCGTAGAGCTTATGTCTTGTTCATTTGGCTTTGTGGACCTTAAAGATGACTGCACCTGAAAAGACTTGAACCCACAACCTGCAGTCTCACAGTCAGTCTTCTATCCCTCTGAGCCATCTGACCTGAGAGGTAAACCTTTCATTTGATAAACTCATTCTCAACTTTGGGTTGGAGATTTTGAAAACTCCTGCACCTCAGGAGGATCGAACCCAAGACTTCAGCTTACCTGAGCAGTGTTGTATCACTCTGACTGTTTGCTAGATTTTGTCACAAAAAGAAAATGTGAAAAAAACAAGTGATAGTGCAAACACCAACAATAGCTCAGAGTATGTCCTACAATTGCGCCACGAACACCTTCATGTAAAAACGTTTCTTTCTAAAAAAACTCGTTTTTATATGAGGGGGAGGATCCTTATCCAAAAAGATATATGTTTAAACTATCCTCCCCTGGCTATAACTAAGCTTACTGTTCCAGTTTTGTAATAATTACATGCATATGCACTTATTTCATTTCTCTATTTTGGACCTATTTTATTTTCCTATTTTGCACACACACACACACACACACACGGTACAAGTGCTTGGCAGTGGGAATCGAACCCCGACACGGGCGCCTAAGTGCCGAGGAACGAACCCTTGCGCCAACCACACAAGTACAAGGTGTATTTGTCTTCTTCATTTTAGGTTGTTGGACTTTAAAAGTCACTGCTCCTCAGAAGACTTGAACTCACAACCTGAAGTCTTCAGACCTGTGTCTCATCTCTCTGAGACATCTGACCTGACGGGGTATGGAAAGGTTTTTCGTAGTGCTAAGTAGTAAAATCCTCTTTTCATATAAAGGGGGGACCCTTATGTAAAGACATTTGTTCAGGACATATCTAACTTTTTCAAAAATATAAATGAGAAAAGACACATTAGCCGCGTTCACACCAAGTACTTTCCTGTACTTAGTTCCGGCACTAAGAGCCCTGGCGCTTTTAACCCCAGGGCACTTAGTACAGATCGCGTTCACACCGGAGTACTTTTCCCTGAGGGAAGATTACAAGTACAGTAGGTGGCGGTAAGCACCTTAAAGTTGTTTGCAATCCGCTACAAAACAAGAGAAGAAGAAGAAGAAAAACTTCCCGCGTATACTGTCTGTTGTTTACCTTCCGACCTCAGACATGATGGAGATGGAGTCGACTGAAGTTGTGCTGTTTGTGCTCATGTTATACAGCTTTGTAACTTCGTTAATGCGACCAGAGCCTGAGCCTATTAGGCGTCCGACAAAAATCCGGAGCCGCCACACGTCGAATGCTATAATCGCAAAGTTTCTTCAGCATCAAAGGCAGTTCAAAAGCTTTAGGAAAAGGATTGGCCGACGGAAAGCACACATGATTGCCATGTTTCACCGTAGGATGGCTGATACAGGATCTGTTTAATCGCCATGTCGGTTTTCTTTATTGCACTCTCAAGACATAACATTAAATAGAAATATTTTAAATGTAACTAAAGTGTCAGTTGTACATGTCAGTAAACATTGTCAATATAAAATAAAGTGTCAGTTGTACTATATAATAACAGTAATAACAATATAAACTGTCCCAGGTGTAGGGAGTCTCAGCAGCAAACCCACCTTTATTATATATCTTCCTGAGACCCACTGCATCCGTCTGCCATAAACACTATGCAAACATACATGTTAGTTTTGGCCCATAGTGGACTCCATGTTGTGTTGTGTGAAATGGGGGGGAATTAAAAGTTTGGGTCAAATAATATTTAAAATGATATAAATTATCATATTTGTGTATGTGCCCCTGCCATTCCCCCACAAGGTTGCAACATTGATGATAAATAAATGACAAATAAAGCTTTGCCAGTTTATAACCGATGAAACATGATGGTATCAGAATAATCACTTACATGTGATGTATCGGATGCTACACAGGTCACAAAAGATAAAGTGTCAGGAGAAATAAGCTTAATCGCCATGTCGGTTTTCTTTATTGCACTCTCAAGACATAACATTAAATAGAACAATTTTAAATGTAAATAAAGTGTCAGTTGTACATGTCAGTAAACATTATATATAAAATAAAGTCATAACAATATAAAATAAACTGTCCCAGGTGTAGGGATATTCAGCAGCATACACACCTTAGTGCAACGTTGTGTGTCGTGTGTCAGTATTTACAAAAACTATACCAAATAAACTGTTATTAAATGCAGTTTGTCGCTCATCCTGCCGCTGCGCCGACGCTTCCTCATGGCGCAGCGCCCACACTTCATCCTGGTGCTGCTGGCGCTCCATCTGCTGCTTGAACACTTCTGCCTGGCGCTCCATCGAGGTGAGCATCTTGTCCTCCGTTTCCTGGGCCTTGGTGAACAGCACCATCTGATCTCCACGCAGCGACTCATTCACCACGGCACGCCGGTCCTCCAACGCCTGGGCGGTGTCAAAGAAATTCGCATCCCGTGTCCGCTTTCCTAAGAGGGGAAAATAAGCAAGATACAAGATCTGTTTAGTCGCCATGTAGTTTTACAACATACTAGGAATGTATTTTTTGTATTTTCACAAATAGAATTAAGGTTTCACAAATCTGAAACTGTGTTATAAAGAATGTTTAGCCTCTCTGGGATAATCCAGTCCAGATTTGATGAGTCTAGGTATAGTGGTTTTAGATCAGGACCTGGTCTAATGTGGCCAGGATGCGAAAAAGCACTAAAATCTCTCTTTTTTGTATTTTCACAAATAGAATTAAAGGTTTCACAAATCTGAAACTGTGTTATAAAGAATGTTTAGCCTCTCTGGGATAATCCAGTCCAAATAAATCGGCTATGCAGCGATTTAAGAGGTTCAAACACGGAGGATTGTTCCTTTTTGAAGAGTGCTTCATGTATGCTTGAACTTTGTTTAATGTTGTTGAGGCAAGTTAAACATAAAATATGATGAATATTATGAAATAAACATGATTATTATAACACTGAGCAGTGTTGTATCTCTCTGAGCTATTGTGTTAATATAAGGCGGACCATTATCTTAAAAAAAACAACTATTTTTATATAATAGTATGTCAAAAACTGTAGAAAAAAACATTATTTTTCCTTGATGAAATTAATAACATTGTATGACCAAAAAAGTAATATAGTAAGGGAAAAAAACATGTCAAAAAACCAATTCTTTACCCAATGCTCAAACTATTACAAACCTCTGCTGGCACCCCCAGGACTGTTTGGGAATAGCAGGCACATCTCAGTCAAGAAGAACAAATGAACAGTCTTTCCCTTCAATGGCTGATAAAACTCCACCCACTCTCACATATCCAAACATAAGATCAGATGTATAAATAAAAAATGAAAGTAAACCCACATGCGTTCTTTAAGGCTTAACTACTTACCAAACAGCAAAGGAGATCGATGCTTGATATAAAGTGTGGCGTTCCCGTGAAATCTATACATATATCTTAAGACATTTAGGCTGTGATATTATCCTCTGGGGAAGGATCACATTGTTTTGAGATACAATGTTAAATGCTAATACATTTTTATCTTTTATATAATGTCAATTTCTGAATTTTCGTTTTGATATTCTTACTCACTGTTAAAATAAACCATACAAATGATAGACTGTTAATTTCTTTGTAAGTGGGTGAACTTACAGAATCGGCAAGGGATCAGATGTATGAATACATTAATGGTGACACACTCAGAGGTGCTGGATGTTATATTCAGTGTATAAAACTAACAATGATGAATCGATAGACATCAAAATGTAAAACTTTTATTCGCAAACCAATGAAGTGGACTGCAATCCATCATTGCCTTCGATCTTAGAGAATACTAACATGAACATAGAGAAAAACAAACGGCAGAACATGACAGCTGGTGCCAGAGCAGGCATTATCACAGACACTGGCTTCATTGGAGTTAATACACTTTGCTGTGAAGACTATGTAGACATTTTCCATCCAATGAAGCCGTCTGTAATAGTGACGCTGCTGGTTTAGGGTCTTTGAACATAATACAAACATATGAGTTGGAAGCACAGGATCATTTGTGTTCACCTGCTATGGCAAAGGACACTGATGGTAACACAAGAGGCAGGCTTCAGTGGTTTTAGACCAACCTAAACCAGCTGTCAAGTACAGCGTAACAAATAATAACCATACATTTCTTTATTGTTAAAAATGTCCCACCCCACAAAAGATGGTCGTAGGTCTCGTTCTGGGTACCAACGTTAAAAGCACACTTGTTTATTTATTCATTATCAATCATAGCATGTATAAATCCTCAAACATGTGTACAGATGTATCGTAGAAGTGTGTTTAGGTATACTATAACTGTACATATTCTTTCATATTACAATGCTGAATGAGTCTTTTAGAGCTGAGTCTTTCAAGTTCACCAAACAATATGATGAATATGTTTAAAACATCAAATTCACAACCCAAAAAAGGTACCTCAAACTGACCCCAGAAAGATGTGGTCAATCCACAGTTTTCCATCAGGCCAATAGATGTCAGTGTTGCTGCACAGCAGAGCAGCTGATGTGATAACAGCAGATTTACAGTATGTAGTCACTATTGTTGATGTCATCTCCTTCTTCTTCTTCTTCTTCATCGTGCACAGGTGAAGAGTGGGATCAGGGTCTAATGCAGCAGCATGCAAGGACACTTTGAGGCAAAAGAGCTCTTGAAGAAAGACAATTAGGAGATTTTAATTGGATGTTTCATTATTTTTTATCTGCATTCATTTGTCACCAATTCATGGATGTAGCAAATGTTGTTTTGTTCGTAGAGAAGCTATCATTTGGACCTGGATGGTTGAATTCAGCTCACATTACTTACATCTTATTATCTCCAAATCATCCATCACCAATTATCTGCCAATTAATATTGTGCCTAAGGAGGTTCAAGTATACAAAGTCACTGCATGACGCCATCTGCTGGAGGGGAGAAACACAGACTTTGGCTATTTAGGAGCAGAGATGGCAAAAGTACACACATCCTTTACTCAAGTAGAAGTACTGATACTCCGAAATGTACTTCAGTAAAAAGTACCCATAACTAGCAGCTGTTTTAAAGAGTACCTGACCTCCCTTTATATTAATAGAACAATAATGTCATTGTTAGCTAATGAATGTTTCCATGCTGAACAACGGCAACATGACAACGTTTTCATTGGTCCCTCTTCTTTAGAGAAGACCAGGAAATGATGGATACACGGATCGTGTTCAAATCAATAGGCACGCAATGACTCTAAATAATAATGATCACGCCACCAAACACACATTCAAACTAAAGGAACCAGCCTGTTTGGGAAATGTGAGAAGTAGAAAGTACAGGTATTTGTGTTCAACATGTAGAAGTAGAAAGTACAGGTATTTGGGTTCAACATGTAAGAAGTAGAAAGTACAGGTATTTGGGTTCAACATGTGAGAAGTAGAAAGTACAGGTATTTGTGTTCAACATGTAAGAAGTAGAAAGTACAGGTATTTGAGTTCACATGTTCAACATGTAAGAAGTAGAAAGTACAGGTATTTGTGTTCAACATGTAAGAAGTAGAAAGTACAGGTATTTGTGTTCAACATGTAAGAAGTAGAAAGTACAGGTATTTGGGTTCAACATGTAAGAAGTAGAAAGTACAGGTATTTGTGTTCAAAAAAAGTTTAAAAAGTCGTAGTGGAGTAAAGTACTGATACCTTGATTACATGATTACTTAAGTACAGTAACGAAGTATTTGTTCTCCACTACTTCCCACCTCTGATTAAGAAAGCCTAATGCTCTGACCACCTCTCTTTGATGTTCCCTCAGTTATCTGTGCAGATCCAGGATCAGTTGTCAGTGTGTGTAATCATGAACTTGGTATCTATCCTCCCTCTCTCTCTCTCTCTCTCTCTCTCTCTCTCTCTTCTCACAGTGATGGCCGCTGGAAGCTCCACGGGCAGAGAGTGTGATTAAAACTGACTGCGAACGTGATCTGGCAGCCGATATGAAACACGTCAGCTCAGAGAAGAGGAAGGAGGGGGAAAGGCTTCACACAAAATGAAGGATAGAAACAGAGAGGCTGTCTCCTCAGCCTTCACCTCAACATTACCTTTCTGCATTTCCACAGAAGACTTGAAAGCCTATGAAGTCATCACGAGGAGAGGCTATTAGTTACTGTACTTGTCAACAGATGGGAAGATCAATACATCTCATATGAATAATGTAAACTCTGAGGTCACTTCAAATGTGTGTTAATCATTTTGGCAAGCGGAGGTAAAGCTCCTATCTGCTAAATGCGTTTGAGACTGGCTCCAAATCAATGCCACGATTACCAAAACACAAACAAGCAGCACAGCAGGAGAGCGCTGATTAAACGCTTTTGACATCGCAGTTAAAGGTAGCTGAACCTTTCCATCAGAGCTCACGTCTGGCAGCGGTTCAACACAGAGCAAATCCATCTGATCTGACTGATCTGATTATCTTTAACATCTTCAAATTCTCAGCGCTGAATCACCAGTGTTGCCTTTTAGCTTTTAGTGTTGGTGGTTTCTGATCCGTGTACAGAAGAAAGTCCGACATTCAAAAGTCATCATTTGACATCGTGTGTGAGTTAAAGGGGTCCTATGATGCTCATTTTCAGTTAGGAGAATAGGGAACTTTGGGATTTTAGCGATAGCAGACCATTTACATGCACACAAACCCTCTATGAACACACTATAGGAAAGGGTTAACATTCTTATTCTGAGCCAAATCATGTTTGTTTATACATTTGACGATTTAGACGCTTGTTTCTGATCCGTGTCAATTTGGACAACAAAAGCTCATTTTCAATATTTGTCAGTGTGTATTTTAGCCTCTGCAGACCATTAACCTATAGAACACACTACAGGAGAGGGAAAACCCTTAAAAGTATAATAGGAACATTAGAAAACATTCCTATTCTTAGCCGAATCATGTTTTTTTATATACCGTAAAGCAGTTTTGTCTTGTTACACATCAAACTACCGTCGTAATCCGGGAGATATTCGCTCAAAACTTAATTGAGAGCAGTTTAGTTTTATAGGATGGGGAGGTGGATCCTGCTGAGCCATTATTCTTATAAACGGTGAAAATGTAGTCCTGGTTTTGTCCTGAAATACTCGATTACTGCACCGAGGCGAGTATACATGTGAAACTCTCTTTTTTAAAGGGCCCATGTCATGCTTTTCCGGTTATCACCCGTCCCCTTGTGTGTTATGAAGCTTCTGCATGTAAACGGTCTGCAGAGTCACAAACCCTCAAAGTACACCCTGTAGCGAGTAAAACTCTAACACAGAAAAGACCTGTCTATGCTGCCCCAGAACGCCTCGTTGGACATTTCTCATGTTCCATTGTTTGCTTCCTGGGTTCTGTGACGTGTGAACACCCAAATCAACAACAAATGACCGGATTGGCCCAAATGGACCAATCCTTGGAGCACATCACACACCAGGATCCCTTGGCTAACTAACAGGGAGTCCCCATTGACTTGCATAGAGCTCCCTGAACGCTGGTAATAGACGAGTTGGGATGGTGGAGAAATGCTCTCCGCAGACCCATTCTCACAGCGTTAGAAACCTTTTTCTTACTCAATATCAAGCCACACTTATTGTTTCTACTTCAGCTGTGAGTGTTTGTGTGTGCTCAGGATGAGTTTCGCTTGTTCTCGCTGTATCGCCGACCCGGAAACCTGTCCGCTCCTCGCAGCAGCGGCGAGCAGCAACGAGCAGCAACGAGCCTCGCAACGAGCCTCGCAACGAGCCTCGCAACGAGCCTCGCAACGAGCCTCGCAACGAGCCTCGCAACGTCCCGACCAATCAGAGCACACTGGGCTCACAGGGAGGGGGGGGGGCAGGAGCTCCAACAAGCCGTTTAGGACAGAGAGTGAATACACATACTATACAGAGATGCTGTCTGAGAAACCAATGTGAGTTTGGAACATTGAACAATGCAAATCTATTCTAGTAGACCTCAACAATGTAAATATGATCAGTAGAAATGACATGGGACCTCTAATGGCGCGTTTCCACTACAGCGCGGAGCACGGTTTAAGAGGGCTGTGACGTCAGCGGCCCGTCTTTGGTTGCGTTTCCACTTGGCCTAGTACCGGCCGGCGGGTCCTAATTCACAGTTTTCCTGGCCTCATAAAATCGTGGGTTCTAGGGCCAGAGACAACGAGGCTGAGTCGGGCTGAGTATGCTAAACTAGAGAGAGGATCGCTGGCAAGGGGGCTACAACTACAACAAGATGGACATATTTGACCGTGATTTAATTGTAATACACGTTTCAAAATGATGCCGAAGTAACAACATACTGATACCGGTTAGTAAAAACCATGAATTAATGCTTTGTCAAGTCTGCAGACAGACGGCAGGCGAAACACCTTTTAAAATGCGTGTTTTCTGAATGGAGATTGGCTAAGCTAACGCAGTATATGCTCCGACCGTCCACACTCACAACAACGGCCTATACAGACATAAATAAAGCAGCGACTGTATTCACCATGACACAGGCAGTCTGTGGTTTGTACTTGTTTAACTTTTGTCTAGTTTCTGAACATATATGAGGAGCTGTGAGCTCTGAGTGCTAACAGCTAACGGCTGTGTTGTGTTTCTGGGGTTCTCATTGAAGATGACGTCACGGCTCCGCCTACACTGCGTTACTATAGATACTACCCCAGTTCCTAAACTGTAATGGAAATGCGCCATGAAGTGAGCCAGTCCTAACGAGGCCTAGCCATACCGAGCGGGGCCGAGCGAGGCCGTGTAGTGGAAACGCGCCATAAGAGTATAGGGTCTATTTTAAAACCCCTTTCATCGTGTATTGACAATCAACATGAATCCTTAGTGATGGATTTACTTGACATACTCCTGTTTGCCATTAGATCATTTCTACGTCACCGTCTGAGAACCAGCAGGATCATAAAGCTTACTCACTCAAATATAAGGATTCAGAATGAAGATCAAACGGTGTGTTGGGTACAGTAAAACAAGTTAAGTGCAGCCACAAAGCATCTGTTCGCACATCCATCATACAGATGCTGCAAATGTGTTTTTTGAATTGCTGGAAAATCACAACATCTCGTCTAAATGACCCTGAGGCTGGAGCACGAAGACAGCGACTGCTTTTACTTTAGCTGTCATGTGAACATTTGGTTGATTATAAGACATATTTCACTATTCTCTGTTGCAGGCATGTACACAGCTACATACATTTCCAATAGCTCTATTAAAACAAACAGCTCCAGGCCCTTTGAGATTGTTTTTCCTCCCATTACACAGTCTATATTGCAAATACATTTTGTTTTGTCATGCCGCTCATGAAGACACTTCTAAGACACGAGCAAACAATCTGAAGAGGTGCAAACAGAGTCTGAGTTGATCCTGTGATCTTTACCTTGCTACCACTTAGCAGATATGCAGGAGAAAGAGAGACTGTCAGCTGTGCACAGGTGTGTCGTCGCCCCCTCTGAATAATAAGGGAGGCAGAGTCTATTTAAACACTATCTCCGTGACCTCTTGGCGCCCGGCAGATGTTCGGGGATCTACAGGATTAACCGCCGCCTCTCAGGTAAACTGATTCATAATAAATAGCAGCTTTGAAAAGAGCACATTAGCATTGAAATGAGGGAGCCTTTTTTGTCAGGAGCTAGTTCTGGGTCACAGAGACAAACATTGAATACAGGGACACCTCTGATGTTAATAGTGTTAACATCCTGGCTCGTTTGCAGAAGGAGAACGGGATGAATTTGAGGGCTGGAAGACATCCGTTTCCCCCAGAATGGATGTCTTCCCTTGCTTCACATTGTGTGCTACATCCATGGTGGATTCGTCTACATTATATTTAATACAAAGCCAGGAAGGTGTGTGAGATTCTTCTCTTCACTTCACTCGGCTGTTAAATGACCTTTACATTCGGCGTAACAGCAGGCAACATGTCCCATCTCATTACCTGCTAGAAAAGACTCGATTTCAAAAGGATAAATAATAAGAACGAGTGTTTAGTCCCTGCAAGGACACACTGTTTTAACTTTACACTGCAGGGAATATTGAATGATATAATAAGGAACATTTCTGCGTTGATATGTGTACAAAAGACAACCTGTACACTTTTCAAAACCACAGATCTGTAATTGTAGTTTCCTGGAACGGCTCCCAAACGTTTGTGTTCAAATTCTGCCTTTTGGTTCTGATTTAGAGCCCCGTAGTCGTATAGAGGGGAACACAGGAGAGACACTGCTCCATACCACCTATCAAACTGATTTGTTATCTTTGTTTAAAATCCTATAATTTCCCTTCAGCGGCTAACAGAAGCTCTCCTGCCTCTTTCTGTTCTTTTATTTAGAAACCTCTCCCACTGTGTGCAGTCAGAAGAGCTTCTGGAAACGACACGCTGGGTGTCGGCCTCTTTCCATCGAATGTTTAAACTCTAATATAAGCACTCAAGGTAAAGACTGCCTTCACACATTGCAGGTAAGTGCATTTGCGTGGACCCTAAGGAGAAGAACAAATAAAACCACTCGGAAAGTACGAGGCCTTTTCTCAGCTTCACTTCCGTTGAGTTTCTTTAAGCCTACATAATAATGGTTATTTTAAAACCACAGGGGCGGTTTAAAGCTAACAATTTAACGTGGTTTTCTCAGAGCTGCTGTTGTCGGGAAAACACTTCAAACTCTCCATAAAGCATGGTGTATTTGTGAATACAAATCAAAGCGTGTGCCACCTTTAATGACATGTTACTGCGTCATGTTTTATTGCCATCAAAGATATGTTATGCGTCATACAAAGCAGGTTTAGGACTCCATAAATGAAAGCCTCACGTAGCTGAGATGAAGCTGTTCATCCCATCATCATTGGAGCTAAATCAGGATCAGATGTAGCTCCAACCTTGCCTGACGGTTGAAGTAACACTTTTCTAAGGTAGCTGTGAAATGCCATACATCACTAGCTAAGTGCAAAAACAAAGCGTCCTTGGCAGATAATGCTCCGTACACTTTCCTTTCTGCGACACATTTCTCTGACACTATGTCTGCTCTCTGCTCGTACATCACAGCGTCAAAAGGTGATGAGTTCTTCTTTGAAAATAGTAGTACTGACGGGTCCAAATCACAAATATGACATTCACAGAGCAGGGAGAAAACGTTCCATCTGTTAACTCGCAGCCTTCAGCTCTGACATGTCCGAGCGGAGGCCTCACACTCTGATATGGCATGTGACTGAAAGGTGCTCTTTATGGTCTGACACATTCATCTGGAGGCCTGGCATTAGCTCATGACTCCCTCTTTGGAAGCTGTCACTACAGCCCAGTTTCTCTGCAGCTGACTGCTATTTCCCCCGCTTCGTTTTCCCCGGACCCCCTGCTGCTCGCTGCACAGTTTAGCTATCAACCTTTTGACATTTAGCAGCTCTCCTGCAACCCTGGCTCCCTCAATAACACTTTCCTCTGCCCAGGTACAGACGCAGCGCTCTCCTGTTTCCTCTGTGAGAGTGTTTGGCAAAGAGAGCAACATATTGGTGAGGGTTTTGGGAATGTGTGTTGACCAGAAGTGTTGCCCTCTCTAGTTTGCAGTGGAAAAGGAATAGTGAAAACACATCAGAAGACCAGAGAGGCAGAACAAGATCAGACCATTTTTATATCTACCATTTCCTTTGCAAAGAAGGCAGGGTAACCTCTGACACCATTTATTTCGAACTAGTCAAATAACCACAGTTTTTGTGCCTACAAGCTAGCCATCAGTGTGTTTCCAGAAAACTATCCTTGGGCTTTGGTAATGTTAGTTGACCAGAAGTGTTGGCTGTTGTCTCGTCCAATTTGCAGTGGAAAATGAATCGTATAGCGGAGTGAAAACACATCAGAAGACCAGAGAGGCAGACAAAGATCAGACCATTTTTATATCTACCATTACCTTTGCAAAGAAGGCAGACACCATTTCCTTTGAACTAGTCAAATAACCACCGTTTGTGTGTCGACAAGTTAGCTGTTCTCCCCCGTTTCCAGTCGAACGTAGAAAAGCCCATCAGTGTGTTTCCAGAAAGCTTTTCCTGTGACCATAGCGGTGGCAGATCCTGTTGATAGGTGCCCAAACTCATGTCCTTTGAGGAGGCAATTACAAAGTGACTTTTGGAGGATTTGTTGCTAAACCCCTCTCTCTCTCCACAGCCTCCATTTACTCTCCAATAAAGGAGACTAGG